GCGTCTGTGCAGTGGTATCCGTCGTGGGGAGGGGGCTCAGTTGCGTGAGGGTAGACCTTCCGGTCTGCTAGCACTTCTGCTGAGCCGGCAAACTTTTCTGAGGGTGACGGCAAGTTGGCAAGAGCGGGCTGGATTGCGTGGTTTACGGCTCACCAGCCATTTGTGGCGTCATATCTGAAGTTTTGGGCCTATCAAGAATAAAAGGCTTGTTGAACGAGCAGAGTTCTCTGCTTCCAAAAAGCGAATTGTTACCAAAAACAAATTCCGAACAAGTGAGATATCGTCACATTGCGCTTATCTGTCACATTGTCTTCGGTTGTAATGCAGACTGCACTCTCTAGCCCTAAGCTGGTGTTTGGAAATCGTTAGCTTTAAACAGAGGTCTGGCTACGCTCTTTTTGGGATGTTCTGACGCCTGTGACGCGGGGACCAATATTATGACGCTTACCACTGCGAGTGCAGCTAACGGAAGGGGACCAATATTATGACGCTTACCACTGCGAGTGCAGCTAACGGAAGGGGACCAATATTATGACGCTTACCACTGCGAGTGCAGCTAACGGAAGGGGACCAATATTATGACGCTTACCACTGCGAGTGCAGCTGACGGAAGGGGACCAATATTATGACGCTTACCACTGCGAGTGCAGCTAACGGAAGGGGACCAATATTATGACGCTTACCACTGCGAGTGCAGCTAACGGAAGGGGACCAATATTATGACGCTTACCACTGCGAGTGCAGCTAACGGAAATACTTAAGCAGATGTGAAGCGGGCTACTGATACCCCGTAAAGTGCGAAATACAGCTTCCTGTTGCATCACTCTGTGACTCCATCATGAGAGGGACTGAAGAAAGCTGTTTCCGCGACATTTGCGGAGTTCAGCATCACGCTTATACAGCGTTGCGTGCAAACGCCATCAAACGCTGTAATGTCCGTCAACGTTTGCCCGCGGCGTAGCTCCTGGTGTAAGTGGACGTCGTGGTGTCATTGAAACCATCGTCAGATATTTGTGTGGTCTGGCAGTTGCTGAGGGTAACCAATCACTACGAGCACGTGGCGAGAAGAAATATAAACACGTTTGGCGTGGCAATTTGTCAAGTTGTACGCGCTCTTCCGGGGATCCATCAGCAAGATGTCATTTCCAGCTGAACTACGCTTGCGTTTCATGTTTCAGGTAGTAAGTAAAAGGTTGTAAAGCATTTGTGCTCAAGCGACGTTTAGGCTGATACTTATCCCATTCGGTGCTCAACGAATTGCCTCCCTTTTATAGCAGGCATTAAGGTCTAAAAGCAGAGTGTGATATTTCCCGGCAATACCATCACCACACAAGGAAGAGGCCTACGGGTTCACATCACAGACAGCAGGCTTGGGGAGCGTTGTTTCTCTTGCTCTAGAAATCATTTCAAGCCGCTGGGGGTAATGCAGTAAGGTTAAAAATGTGCCGAAACCTTATGGAGTGGTTTTGTTAGATCGCATCGCTACCTGGACAGGTCTTCCGGGCATTTACGGCCACGCAAACAGCACGATGGTCACTCTCGTAAGGAAGGGTAAGACATCTGACAACCTTTAAGTGACCGGTACGAGTAAAAAAAAAAAAACACCAGCCGGACATCGACAAATCCGTTCTCGTGGAGGAGAAAATATTTTGGCTAGACTGCGCGGACAAAATGGGGATCGAAGGTCACGCGCACCGTTCTTTGTTTGGAGCTGAAGCAAGTGCACCATGATCACCTTCAAGTGCTTTCCATCCAGGCTTTAATATGTTTAAAGGTGCGAAACTACCAAGCGAAAACCAATAAAAAACGGTCCATTAGCGTAAACCGAATACTTGCTTACGCACATCGTAAATCGGTTAACCGGCACGGCACAAACACCGGATGCTCCGTCGTGGCCGACCGCACACAGGCAGCACCATTGGTCTCCAGTCCCGCGAGCTCAGTACTTATTCTGGTCTGGAGTGTGCAGGAACCGAGCGGGAGCGATGGGATCAGGGTAAACCATTTACCCGCGGCCCGTGCCAAGCATCATACGAACCGCCTGAGTACCGCCGCCAGGCAGAAGTGCAAGCTGATGGCTTGTTTTGCCTGCTTTTAGGCTGACAGGACGTTGGTGAACGCTGATTCGTGCTGCTGATGGCTCTTATATCGCTTTTTGGGATGAGAACGCAGCAGCTGTGTGAGCTCGAAGTCCAAGCAGACCCAGCCAGCATGCGTCCCATTAAGTTGTGCGCATCGGGTTAGCTCTGCCTTTTGAGGTCGCCATAGCATGTCGAGCTCAGCCCCTTGGTGACTCTCTCCTTTTGCAGGGTAGCAGGCCCCAGATCAGTCCCTTGGTGACTCTCTCCTTTTGCAGGGTAGCAGGCCCCAGATCTGCTTAGAAAGCACCTAGTCTTGCTTGACTGTTTTGGAAAAAGCCGATGACACCGCCCCTGGTTGTTCCTGAACAGGCGTATTTCAAAACTTGCCGTGCTGCCAAGGGTAGAAACTCGGCCGTTTTTCTGTCGATTGGGATGATTAGAGCGAGTAAATGCACCAATTCTTTCACTGTTTGGCCTAACTGGACGAATGTCTCCAAGGAAGCAGCCTAATATATGTCTTCAGCTTAAGGCAGCGCGTCCGAGCGAGAACAAAATATCAGCAGCATCACTGCGTACTCGATAATGAGGAAGTTGTAAAATCGTGCGCAGTTTTGGGGCGTCCGCTTTTACCAAGACCTCGCGTCGGCAGCCGGCGTAAGGTCCCGTCTTTATTCGCAGCGCGCCTCGTCGCAGCTTTCGCGTGACGTCGACCAAATGTGATCTCTCTGCCTGGCCTCCCGGCCGCCACCCAGCGCGCGCCTCTCATTGACCCCTGATCGGCGGGACGGCGGCGGCCCATTCAGCTGCCCGCTCCCGTGGGAGCGACGGAGAGACACCAGCGCCAGGTGGTCCCGTTTGCAACAGCAAGCCGCTTTCATCGCTCCTCTGTAACCAGCCATTTCGGCCGGACCTCGCCGAGTACAAGTGTCGAGGAGGGGTGTCCAGCACCTGAGGTTAGCCACAGTGACCTCATCGACGGCCGGGCCAGTGTGACCCGCCGCCACGCGCGCCGTCGGTGGTCGCAGTTTTCACTTTTTCCGCCGGCGCCCCGCGCCGCCCGTCTCGGTCAGCGATGCTAATCGGCACGCTGCGAAAGTGGCGCGGCGACCTTTTACGGCACTCGTGGCGCACCAGCTGGCGGCGGCTGATTGGCGGAGAGGCCGCGGCTCCGGGTCAGCAGAGGCTGACCTCTGTATCGTAGCCGACTTGCCGACAACGGCTCACAGTCTGTCGCTGCCGGCGGCTGAAAGATACAAAACAGGAACTGTTCGACAATCGCTGAGAGCAGTTATCAAATGCACGATAGCAATAATGACTATGCAACAACGTGGCATAGGCATGATTGCTTCTACTTCAATGTTTCCAGTCACCGCTGTTGATAAATCTTTGGGTGACATCGGAATGCGCCCCCAGTTCAGGGCACCACCGAGGGCAGTGCGTAATGAACGAAACTCGTCTGCGGGTAATGAACATGCCCCTGTCGCCTGGTAATGAACCGGCCGTCGATCCTACCGCCGATAACGAGACAAGGGGTAAACAATCGACAACTGTATCAGCCACTTGTCACCGATTGCGCCAGGGATTGTGCGCGACTCGGGCTTGCCGGCACACAAGATATGTTCTCAGATACGCGGCCACAGCCGGATAATGGTGAAGGCCAAACATCTGACTGTCATTTACCTGACAGGAAACGTCAGTGGGTTTCAAGTGGGGGACGTGTGCAAGTCCAAATGTGAAAAGGTCACGGCTAACAGGCTAGGCAGGCATCGGAGCGTATGCAAGTTTTTCTGACACGGCAGCTTAGATCGGGGTAGCGTGACCTTGAAAGATTATCAGATGCATTAGGCATTGTATTGCATCGTTCTCCAGCACAACAAATGCAGCACGCATGCTTAATCCACAGACATTTAATGAGTCTCATCGGCAAAATTTTGCACAGGAGATACGGCACAATCTTTATCAGCAATCCAGCAAGTCAGCCTGAATACGGAACACGCAAACAAAACCTTATTTGGTGTGCAGGACCTGTTCGTGCCTCCTGGCATGGCAGTGATGCAGACCGTGTTATGCAGTGCTCCGTCGGGTAGTCTCCAGGGCACTACTGGGCGGAGCTGCCCTGGGGACAGCGACTCCGCAGGGTGACGGTCCGCAGCATGATGACAGCTGCGAGGGCGTCTTGCTGCCACTGCCCCGCGTCCTGTCGGGCAGATGTGGAGCCTGAGTGGTTTGTTGCTGGCGTGTGGTCCGGCCGTGTGATCTTATCAGATTTGTGTTGCTCTGTCAGTGAATCGACGCACCGACCGCATTGTATGGAGATGGCGTGCCCCGGGCAAAAACGATCCGTGACTGGCGTGGGGCCTGGAAAATTTCCAATTTGATGTTTTTGTTGACGCGCGTGATATGCTGTGTGGCGCTTACGTTTGGAGGCACTCGAATGCGACAGGAAAGTACGAACGACGGGCTATCGATAAACATAAACAGCTGATTGCAGGGGGCGAAGGCTCGTGTTGTTCTTCCTAGCCGTTTTCCGTGAGAGTTGCTCGTGTGGGGTTTGACTACCCCCGGCCTCTGTGGCACAAAACACGTTGAGTTCTCCTGACCGGTCGTCTCGTGCAGCGCGTCAGGAGAGCTGTAACCGCGCCTGCTGTGGCTTCCCCCACCCCTCCATCCTCCCCCTAGCGGTGACGTACTGTTCAACTATGCCGTGGCAGTGTTCTGACCCTCGGCCGCTGCGAGTCCGTGAGCGTCCGTGTCGTGATCGGAGGATTGAAAAGGTGAAGGTGCTCAAGAGTACTAATCATTCATCGTATTTCACTGTGGTCTGTAGCAGCTAGTTTGCAGGAGAGCCGTGACCGGCAGCGTTTGAGAAGCCATGCTCGCTGTGTGCTCCTTGACTGCAGCGCTGTCCTCTGCCCGCAGAACAAGCACTGGGTGGAGCTGAAGGCCCTGGAGATGACACCCGAACTGAGCCACCTGGCGCCCAGTCTGGACGAGGCGCTCCTGCTGCACCAACAGCATGACGAAGTGCTCCAGAAGCTGGCGGTAAGCGACGCACGCTGCTCAGAGCGGGTGCTTCCAATCACAGGGCGGTTAGGTTGTTACCAACCGCCTTAACTTGTCAGAAGGAGTTTGCGCGTGGATCATATGAAATGGAGCTACTCAGCGGGTCGTCATCATTACTCTTGAATTTGACTGGGAGAGTCCTCAATTGGTTAAACGCGTGGGTGCTCAAGAATGATAGCGGAATCTGTCTTGTGTTTGCCCCCTTCTTCAAAGGCAAGCACGACAGATGTACGACACACCTCTTATGCACATACATCTACATCAAAGGCGGTCCACCTGTTGGCGCTGAAAGAATCAAAGCGACTTTGGTGTCGGATGTTGAAATGATTTCAGAGTTCAGATCGAAAGCCAACATTGACCCATTTGAAGTGAGGGAAGGGGTCGGGTAGTGGAGCATCACCGCATGAAATGAGAACTTCACCCCAGATCCCGTAATGCCCACATGTGTTGGTAGTCCGACCCCGACCCCAATAAGTCAGACATCCTTGGGCGGCTGTCACTCACGCTCCGTGTTTGCACGTGCATAGTGCCATCACCCGCGCCCAGAGGTTCGGAGGTCAGCACCGCACCTGATTAGAGCGCGCCGCTCGATCGGCTGGCTGCGCGGCTCTGCATCGGTCTCGATGGAGCTGACGTGTATGCTTCCTGGCAGATGTGCTGAACGCAGTATTGGAAGTGGACCGAGAGGTGGAATGGCTTTCCTCGCTATGGAAGAGTCGCGCTTGTTCGTTTGTGGCGATTTTGGCGGCTGGATGACATCTGGGATTGTGAGAGCGAAATCGAGCTGGCGAAGAGATCGGAGGATAGCAGAGAAAAGCGTCCAGCGACGATTAGAACCGTTTTATGGGAGAAGTCCATGGCAGCTGGCACCTCTTTCTCCGCTTAGGCTTATTGTCAAGCTGCTTATTCCGCTTCGCCATTTGTAGAGGCTTCTTGCTTTAAGCAAGAGAACATTCGTGCAACCCTGACCACTGCAAGTGGCAACAGTTTTGTTTTTACCTGAAACGTGATTGCATTCACCACTGACTGCTTCATTTATGGAACGAAGCGATAAAGCCGCGACAGTCTGGACAGCTGAACGCCACGGCCCATCTGTCTGCTGTTCCACCTGGACTCAGAGTTTCAGTAAACACTCACCTGCCCTTCAAACGGCCATCGTCACACTCAGCAAAATACTGAGCGCGCTGCGACAGCGCCGCTCGCCGAACCGCGTCGATTTCCAATCAGTGCTGCATGCTCTACTGAATCCGATAGAGCATGCTGTACCAACAGCCTGGGTCTACGCGGCGAGCATCGCCTGGGCTTCGCTGTAGACACAAGGCACCACCGCGCGGGGTGTGAACTCGGATGATGGATCACCCCCAAAAGTCATCAGCATCTGAATAATCGATGTCTCTCCGACAGTGCGCGATTGCCATCAGGACACACGAAGCGTGGCTTATTCGGAATGGATCCACTCAAAGATACGAGAAGACGAGGCGCGTACGAATCGCCTGAATGACAAATTTGCCTGCAGATAGCGGGGAGGACGGGGGCTTTGGATTGATGTCGGGCTCCCTTTCTTACTCTGATGTTCCGCCGTCGAATGTGACCTGGGCAGGAGCAGATGACGTGTGAGTGACCTGTGATTCAATATGCAATCTCAGTCGTATGTCACTTCCCAATGCCCATCTGGCAGCAGCACTCACTTGGGTGCCCCAATTTCAAATGGCAGCTCAATCGAAACACCCTGGAGTGATGGTTGTATACACTGCCGGGACCCTAACAGATGTGTGTTGGGTTGCGGAACAGCAGCATTAATCATGTCATACCATTGGTGGCGCATCCTTTCTCTGCACTTTTTGAAAAGTTATGAGTTTTGTTTGGGTAAGCGTAGATTCGACGTCTGAGAAAGTGATGTGGTCATTTTAGAAGACGGGCCACGTTCTCATTTTAGCGAGCAATGATATGCTTTATAGATGTGCAATGTCTCTCTTAGTGGTGCTTCAAACCCATGCCCTTTCGTATTTCGCCATTCCCTCCGTGCGTCTGGGCCGAACAGCCACTGTACCGAGGCGCTGCAGCCTTTGCGAAATAACTGCAGCAGCTGCCCTTGCCACCTGAGGACTTCGGCAGCTGACGTATGCCAGTTCCCCGCAGCTAAAGGGAGCGTACTAGCTCCTCACCAGGCCTCCGCCCAGACGGGGTCAGCAGTGCTGCGCCCCGCAGCCGGGCGTTTTGGCTGGGCCTCCTGCCGACCCGAGACTGTGATCCCAGTGCACGGCGGCGGCCAGTTACTCATGCTCGGGCGGCGGCCGAGTATTTTTAGCGGTTAGAGGCGTGCCGGAGTGGCTGCTGACCGGCACGTCCGTGCCGACCGGTCAATCTGGCCCGATCCGACCGGCCCGGGCAGGGCGAGCGTGGGGACCCGAGTCGGGGAGGGCCCGAGCTGGTGCGGCCGAGGGGAGGACTGGTGCGGCCGGGCGGGGGTGAGGGCCCGAGCTGGGGAGGGCCCGAGCTGCTGCGGCCGAGGGGAGGACTGGTGCGGCCGGGCGGGGGTGAGGGCCGGAGCTGGGGAGGACCCGAGCTGCTGCGGCCGAGGGGAGGACTGGTGCGGTCGGGCGGGGGTGAGGGCCCGAGCTGGGGAGGGCCCGAGCTGCTGCGACCGAGGGAGGACTGGTGCGGCCGGGCGGGGGTGAGGGCCCGAGCTGGGGAGGGCCCGAGCTGCTGCGGCCGAGGGGAGAACTGGTGCGGTCGAGCGAGGGTGAGGGCCCAAGTCGGGCTGGTGCGGCCGGACAAGAGTGAGGGCCCGAGCCGGTCTGATGTGATTGGGTGGACGAGGTGGCCGGCGCTGGTGCGGTATGAGCTGTACCACCGGTGGGTGGGGACTACGTGAGAGCCTGACCTGTACCTCCTCAGGTCTTGGTCCGACCCAGCGCCGCGGCGCGTGTACCGATGACAGATCAGCACCAGCGGACGTGCCGTGTCCGGCAGCTGGTGCTGGCTGCGACGCAGACGTCCAGCCGCGCGGGCGGCGTTGCAGTGGCTTGGTGCAAGTTTTCCCGCTTCGAGCAATTTTCTGGTGGCGCGTATGACATGGGGTTCTCGGTTTTCGCGCCCCATCTGTGGTTGGTTGAGGATCCATAGAGATATATTTGAACTGAGCATGGGCTGCTATGCTTGTGGAGAACATTGGTGATAGCATAGCAGAGGGGGCAGAACGTAGTACAGCATAGCATGTGAAATATACGTGAACAGAGCAAATGGGTGACATCGCTGCCGTAAGTGTGTCTTTGTCCTCTTGACTTCTCATCTATCAATTTACGACGCGACATGCCTCTGGGCGGTAGTCCCAAGTCTGCCGACGCCGAGCGTGGCTGGACTGGGGCCAGACAGAGGAGCCTCCACCGCTTCACGGCCGCCCGCGAACGAATGCCAGGGCGGTCAGGTCAGCCCACGACCGGCCGATGATCCGCTCTGGGGGCGGCTCTCAGACCCCCTCCCCCTGAGGAGGGGTCCGTCGGCGTTCAGAGTCTGGGAAAGAACGGCGCGGACGTCCGTCGCTCCTGTGGCACAGGGTTTCATGACGGAGCGTCAATGACGTGGCGGGGAACCTCCAAAAAGGTCGTTAACATCCACGCCGTTATGCTTATTTGTCACGTTACAAAACAAAATACTATGGCTGGAAGCTTGTTGTAGTGGACAGTGCTTACCTGCAATTCTACATACTCCAGCGCCCGGTAGAGATAGGCAGGCCAGTGTTATGTGAAAACACGAGGTACCGGAGCGAGCAGCATGTGGCCAATGAGAGCGTGATGTGATTATACTATAATGCGAAATGGATAACGCATATAAGGCTAATTATCATTAAAGTTTGAGTCTTTAAAAATATCGCCAACGTTTAGCGGCGCACGCCGTAAACAAATAAAATTGCATTGTTTTCTGCCCATTGTGCGACGGACATACACCCGCGTTGTATGTGAGAGCTGTCAGCTGCAAGGCAGGCGCCGTCACTGCAGTGCAGTTAACGTCAGCTGCATTGTCTGTGAGCCTTCACTAATTCGCTCAAGTGGTCGTATTCCGAAGCCGTCCAGCTTTCCCATGGTCATGATTCGCTTTATGTCGCGGCGGCACTGCATACAGCAAGGCCAGATCAATTGCCGCCGTGGTACCACCGTCAGCACCGGCTGGAAACCGGCACCACAGGCATTTCGCTCAGTGCATTGCCAGGCTTCCCGTGGCTGAAAACACTTCATAACCACCATGTATTTAGTTTCGGTTCAGTGACTTCAGTTCCGGGCGCAGCAGGGATCAGAGCCATCGGGGGCGTTTCTGTCCGAGCTGGTGGTGCTGTATGCTCGCCGCTCGCGGTGTCCCACGCCTCCGACCCACGCCAACGGTGGACCGCCGATGTGACCGGCGCGCTGCGGTGGTGACCGAGACGACCGCGGGAGCCCCCCCCCCCCCCCCCCCCCGCCCTCCCACCGGCGCGCCCCAGCCGAGAAGGCTGCTGCTGCGGCTACTGCTGCCGCCGGGCGGGCGAAGCGGAGTGTGGGGCTGTTGCGGGCGGGCGTCGAGCACGGGATCATGCTGACGGCGCGGCCTCGTGGCACGCGAACGCGAGACGGAGCGAGTGCGAGCGACGCTGGTGCACGTGTCGTGTCGGTCGGTCCTGAAATGGGTTCAGATACAAGTCTTTCGGCAAGAGTGTTGCTCCTCCGCGTTAGTGCCTAATTAGTGTGCCCCGTCAATGGTTAGCAATGGAAAGTGTCTTGACTTTGGGACACTAGTGACATCGTCAGACCGTTAGAATATAAACAGATATGCATCTTGTAGCTTGAAATGGGGCACTATGCCCTGGTGATTCTCCTTTTCGATATTTCGATATTCTCCTTTTCGATACATTAGCCGTGGCAGTGCTAACAATACTGAGGACGCGAAAGCTAAACTTTCCCACATTCATTTAACACAATAGCCGGTAATGGACGTCCGATTACACATGCCCGGGTGTCGCGGCCTCTGTCACCAGCCCGGTGTAGCAGCCGCTGTCACCAGCCCATCAGTGTCGGCCGGCCCGGCGGGAGCGGCCCGACAAGGCGCTGCCGAAGGGCCGGCGCAGCGGGACCCCGGCCTCCCTGCGGACCCGCTGCCCGCTGTCCGCTGGCGCCGCGAGCCTGGGGTGCGGCCGACGTCCGGCAGCGAGACCCCGCCTGCCATCCGTCGCCGCCGCCCGCTCGCCCGTCCGCCCCTTCACCGCGCCCGAGCGGGCGCTTTTTGCCGCTCGAACGACCGCCGGGCTCGGGCGAGCGGCCCCGCTGCGGAGTGCTGACCGGCGCTGGCGGCCGGCTCTGACGTCACTTCCGGCGCCGGACTGCAGGGCTGCACGACGGATGGTTCTGCCGGCGAGCAGACAGCTGGGAGGAGGCCGGGGATTTCTCCCGAGGAGAGGCGGTCGTGTGTCTCCTGCGACGGACTGTGGGAAGCGGGCGGGGAAAACTGTGCTGTTGTTGAGTTGCTGGCCGTCTCGCCGTAGAGTGTGATTAATTACCGGTCATTTTTCTTGCCGGTTACCAGGTGGAAGTTCTGTGAGTCAACTGTGACTGGGGGCAAACATGCGACTGCTAAAAGGTGTGCATGATATACCATGCTACCATCTCGCGGACGGTCCAAAATGACTTGCAAATCGCCGGCCAGAGGCTTTCATGCGCAAGTCGCATCTTAACTGACGTATCTGTCGGACAAGCTGACGGACCGTCACCAAGCTCCGCGAATTCGCCAGGTCCGTGAATCCGGGACCAGGCTACCCGTCCGACAGATGGTTCATGCTTCGATCACTCTCCGTTTTTCTAACGACCTGCCGCCGCTCGAGCCGCCAGTCAGCTCGAAGAGACTGCGGTGCGCTCGGCGCCGGCTCGGCGCGTGGCCGGCTAGAGAACGTAGCCGACGTGACCGGCCATGGCCAGAGGCCGGCTCTTGGTGCCCCGATCACGTCCCGCCGGCCGAGCTAGGTCCACTGGAGCCGGCCAGGCCTCGGGCTGGTCAGGACCCGCCGGTCGGGGAGCGTGCGCTCCGGCTGGCCGACCGCCGGCCGGGCGCGAGACGCCTCATAACTGGCCTGCGGGTAGGTGGGCTTCGAATGTTAAGAGATTACCACGGCACATTTACGAAACATGTCCAATTATGAGGTTTGGAAGCCGCTGTGTTCTGAGATGTTGCGTGAGTGGTGGGTCTGATGCGCTGAGCAACAGCGGTCCTGCAGCCGGCTGGGCTGCGGAGGCTCTCCAAGATGGGATTAAGAGATCAACAGCAGTCTGTTTTTGGAAGGAGGCCACCCGGGCGGCTGCCCAGGGCCTTATCGAGGCGCTCATTCTTCTAGTGTTTTCTAGCCGTGTCAGATTATCAAAGTACATCCCTGCCAGCCTCTCTCCCTTGTACGTAATGGGCCACCGTGGCCATGATGCCGACACAGGACGCCAGCAGAGGCACGGTCACGTGCTATCGGCTGATCGGCCGGCTGGCGCAGCAGGTGAAAGTGCGTCGTGCCCTGACCCGACCCGGCCCGGCCCGGCCCGGCTCGGTGTAGTCCGGGTCGGGCTGGCGTGGCTCGGCTCGGCCCGGCTCGGTGTAGTCCGGCTCGGGCTGGCGTGGCTCGGCTCGGCTCGGCTCGGCTCGGCTCGGCTCGGCTCGGCGTTCGCACGTTATCCATTACAGCCGGCAACCGGCCATTATAAACTGGCTGCGCTCGGAGCCTGTCGGCGCGGGCGGCCGGCCGGCCCAGGAGTAGACAACGGGAGAGGGAGAAAGAGTGCGTTGTCTATGGCGTGCGTCACTCGCTAAATCCCGCCATATGTGCAGGCGCTGCATGGAGAGTTCAGCTGCTGCGCGGTCGTATTGGTCTCTTGACGGCCCTAACAGTAAAAGTCTCTTGACTCCATGTAAGAGAACCCGAGAGCCAGAGTACAGTGAAGAGGGATATATGCGAAGCCACCGACCGGCCCTTACCCAAGCCTGACCCCACAAAGTAAGGAGTCGCTCGTTCGGGACCTAGCGAATCTGACCCGGCGACTCTCCCACAGAGCAAGGAGTCGCCGGTGGAGGACCTGCTGAACCAGGCGGATCAGCTGATCGCGGGCCAGGAGAACAAGGCGGCCACCTACTCGGCCATGGCCGACAGCCTGGCGCTGGCCTGGCGCGACATCAACGGCCAGCTGGAGCAGCGCCGCCAGGTGCTGGCACAGTGCGTCCGCTTCCACAGGTCAGGCAGGGCGCGTCGGTGAAGTGCTAAGTGTGCCATCTCCTGTGCAGTTAAATAACGCGGGGTTGTGAGTCAGTAGGCGTACTCTCTGCAAGCCATAAAAAATAGACCAGTAGACATAAGTGTGTGCGCTCTCACTGGCGCGGATGATGGCGATGAAAGGCGGTTTGACAAAGCTGCTGTGATGAGTATTAGCTAGTGAAAGAAGCCTGATGTTTTTATTTGAATGGACGCTGATGTGGCTGCTGCCCCACCTGGAATATGGCCGAACATGGCCGATGATAACCAAAGTGTATGGCCAAATGATGACCAAATGTATGGATTTCCTGACGTTATTTGGCAGTACCGTTGAAACACCGCGCAGCCGCTGCCTGAAATCATTGCAGGGACGTATATCCGCCATTGTTGACAATACGGACAGCTTCCACCCACAGCTTCCGCACAGCGAGTGTTGGATGCCGCTCGTAGCGGCCTGAAGTCCTCGCCATGCATGTTGAGCCAGATAGCGGAGGGAGGTTTTGAGGCGTTTGTAAGATGATTGGACGGTTTCTGTTTTACGCCACGTGCCATTCAAGCAGCTGTATTAGCAGCGCGCCAAAGGGGCATCCGAAAGTTACGCAGCGGGCAAGAGGAGAGGGGTTCACTGCGAAGGGTTGAGGCTCTTTTTAGAGGGACGAGAGTTTGTGAGCTGACAAATCAGAGTAAGAGAGCACTTTCGATCCTTTGTTTATCGTGCGCGGCGTCATGTTTCAACACTACGTATTTCACCGTATCATAGCGTTGTGCTGGCAGTGCATGGTGTTTTAATTTTGTTTGCAAGGAAAAGCTTTCAACTTAACGCTGCCGGCTTCCTTTGTCTTGCACATCGCAGCGCGTAGGATGAATATTTATTGAAAGAGCACGGACTCTGCTGGCTTGTCGGTTAGCTGGTAGCCGGCCAAAGGTTCGTGACCCGGTGTTGTAGGGTATGTAGAATGTTTCTCCCTTGTTCTACCCAAAAGAAAAACATTCAGACGTCCCTAGTGATTGGCTGTGCTAGAGCGGCACTATCCAAGTACTAGCTTCTAGCTTTCAAAGCTGGCCCGTCGGGTGTGGCTGTACGGTGCCAAGTGAGATTGTTGCAGGCCCTGGAGGGAGCTTTTCATATTTCCACATAGAAAAAACAGAAAATTCAATCAGAGAATATCATCATAGTATCACTACTAAGCCAGCCAGACCCGATGTAATGATCGGACTTTGGATTACGTTGAACTTGATCCTGATTTATCTTCCATCATTGCAGATTCAGTTTCATCCTGATCGTACTAACCGTACGGGTGTGATTAGACTACGAAGGTTTGTTTGCACGGAGGCGATCCGGTGGGGGCGCCGTCGTGTGTTATGGCGAAATGAACCTTCTGCATGAAGAAAGTGGAAAAAGTGTTGTGTTTTTGTGGTCGAGCGCCATCGCATGACGAGAATCAATGATAAAGCAATTTCTTTTTTTTTCTTCAGGGAGCGTGGTTTTCTTGACAGGGAAGGCTTTATGAATTCCATGCTAACACCCGCCAGTTGATTTACTTTCTGTCGTATGTTGTAGATGGAGTAGGGAAGTGCAGAAAAGACGCCAGAGAATATAAATGCGCGGCGTAGCTAGCGCCTGCCTCAAATAATGAAGCACAGTGATCCTAAACGTAACTGTGTGAGCGACTTACGGCAACTTCTGCTGATTACGAAGGTTAAAGGATGGGGGGGGGGGGGGGGGAGTGTAGATCAGATCGGTACGGCTCGTTATATCGGACAGGGGCAAATTGTCCTAGAAATGCATTGTTTGATGTATAGCTGGCCTCAACGAGTCGTTTGGAATTTATTATCTTTCCTAAGCTGGTTGTTTCCGATGCGTCTCCAAAGGTGGCTGATGTTACCACCGCGAGCTATTGGCAGGATACAATCTTTTTCCTTTCAGGCTTGCCATCTGGCTTTCCTAAACCGTTGTTTTTATTGCTCAGAAGACCAGGCTCTTTGTTTGTGTGTAGTGAAGCTTCGTTCGGGCTTCATTATTCAGTCCTATAAGGGCCTTGCGTGGGTGTCTGGGCTCCGTGGCCTGGCAACAAGGGACGACCGCAACGCTCGCTGCCAGTACATCCAAAAGCATGATCCGCTACCGTTTGTATGGATCGTTAAGCGGTCAGGTCGAGGTCATCGGCTATAAGCAGATGGCAATGAACGTGAACATGCCGGCGAGAGAGCTGCAAAATGAGCTTCGCCTTGACACCTCGATCAGTTGAACCACGCGTCGGCGCATATGTTCACTTATGACCCTCTTTCACCTAACCACCAGTCGCACTTATGGGTTAGCAGCTATAGATGTAGCTATTGACGTGGATTTGAAACGCGCTGCAAGTGAGCTGAATAGTCGAGGCAAAGAAAGATGTGTTTTCAGAGAGTGCCCTCATTTTGGGCCCCCGCTACTTCCATGGTGTTCTCAAGTGCATCCATGGATCCGCGCCCGTGTGAAATTTCAACCTAGGTTGTAACTCTGAAGCTATTAGCTCAACCCCGATTGATAGCCATGACTGGAATGTACGTACGCTTAGGGCTCCCCCACTTAGCGCGGAGAGTTTCCAATGCATGTTGGAATGTGGGTATATCGGTAAAGGCATGCTTGGGGCATGCCTTTTGAACTTATTAAATACGTCGGCAAGTCGACGACATTTCTACACATTGCTGCCCCGGGCCCGGAGCATGCTGCCGAGCCGAGACGGCCATGACAACCACCGTGTGCTGCCACCTTACAGACGATCGCGAAACTTCAGTGACATCATGGACTTGGCAGATGGCGTGTTTGGCGACATTGCAATACCTGCGCACCCAGAGGCCGCACAGGAGGCCATCAGACGACTCCTTGACGTAAGGTTACTCTAAAGCAACACATGGCGGCATGCTCTTGGTGTTGTGCGGAATGCTTCCCAGCCATTGTCAGTCGTTCGAGACAAGGGTGTACGGATCTATGTAAGAACTGGACGCGAACAGTATCTAGGTGTTTGGGAGGAAAACGTCATGGCCTGTTGGCTTAGTCAAGATGACGCGCATGGTAGTCATGTCAGGCTGTCCTCGAATATCGATCTACCTCCTCCCCATGACGTCAGATATGTAGGGTCGAATATGTGTTGTCAGCAGAACGGAACAAAGGGCATTGGAGGGGTGTGCACCGGGGGGCACTTGCTCTCAGTGTGCGTCTGCTCGGGGCATGGTTTCCGGCACATATTACCCTTCGTACTCCTCCCCTGTGCTTCAGGTGCGGAAGGGGGTGTTGGAGGCCTCCATGCTGACTCTGCAGGAGGGGAACCAGCTGCTGGAGAAGCTTCGCCTGCTGGCCACCAGGGGAACTGTCGACTCTCGACCGAACCATATTCGAACGTCTGTGCAGGCCTGTGAGTGGCTCGCCGTCCAGAGCGGTGTAGTCACGTGTGCGGGCCGGGCGAAGGCCGTGGGCAGAGTGGTGGCGGCTGTGGCTTGTTTGTCCGACTGGAATGATGGCTAAGTTTGGTGGCCATATCTTCAAGAGACGCTCCACATTCCTATTTGAATGATTGTATATGTCTGGGTTCCTATCGATATCAGACTCTCTGGGACTGTGCGTCTTAACCAACGCTAAACGGTATATTGTTGGCTTTGGCCACAAATGCGAATGAATTTCAATAAGTCACAAAATTACCATTGGACTCACGACGAAATTCGCTAGTGAATTTTGCGACATTTTTCCAATTTGAGTCTGAAGTCAACAGTGTTTGGTGTAGTGTGATTAGGTTTGTCTTGATGCAGAGAGAAGAGACATGGAATTTGGTATGATGTGTGTTTTGCTTTTTTTGCATGGTAACAGTTTGTATTCCTCTATGGCTGACGGGATTCCACCGCCTTTAAGCCAGCCAGTGCGCAAGTCGGCGCACAGGCCGTGTGTGGTTCTCAAAGCTATGCGCAATGCGCGCACATCGCGTGGATGGCATGTGTGCAGTGCTCGCAGATTTGGAACCACACTAAGCCTGCGTCACGATTTCCGCACTGCCTGAGTGGTCGGCAACCCACCAGTCTGAGATTTTTCAAACGTCCTTCACACTGGAATGAGGCTATGGGGTCTGGCATAACATGTTAGTTACTCCCTTGAAGACGCGCCTTTTACGCTTCGGACCGCACGCGGCGAGGGACACGTCGCCGTGGTTTACAAGCGACGTCCTCGGCCCCTGACGCGTGCTCTGTGTGCCTGCAGCCTGTATCCAGGTGGAACGGTGGATGGAAGAGCTCCACGACCGACGTCGCCTCGTGGACGTGCTCTTCACAAACCGTCGCCTCATCCTGGAGCAGTGTCTCGCGCTAACTGTGTTCTACTCCGACCTAGGTCAGTGTGTGGAACACTCGCTGTCCGTGACTAGTGGTACTGAGGTGTACGGATGTACCTGAGGACGGCCACAAATACCTACCAGCCGTTTTTACGCAAGCATTGTTAGGCAGGTTTCCAACTTGATGCCAAATCTCAAATGTTCGAAAAATGGACTTTGCAGGATCAGGATCTGGCTTGTCTCGTCGGGACTATCAAAATGCCGCACAGTTTCATCCGAAAGCGTTTTTGCTTCAAGTGCCTATTCGCCGTTTAGCACCTTTTAAGAGTTATTTCGAATGGTTTCAGGCTGGCTTTGGAGTCAGAGTTCTCACTAAGTATAGCTTTTTGCATGTACCCTGAATGCATGCATGTACCCGCCCAGGTCGTGCCGTCCAGTTTAGCGGGTAATTTTGCCCCCGCCCTTTCGCCAGACAGGATGCGGAGGGTTTTACGTGCCGCACAACGCTGCGGCACGGCCGCTGCGGGCCTGGGTTGAACCTCATTGGCCAGTTGGCACCTGACCTTTCCATCTAAGTAAGGCGAAATATTGCGCCCGCCCTGGGTGTTGTACCCGGTGTCACTGGATTAGGAGTCCAGCATCTCTCCCCGAGATACGCTTGCGGTACTTAAGTAGGCGTGCCTTAAGTCCGTTTGTGGTACTGTATGTATGGTTTCGTCCCATAGAGTGAATATACAAACGTAAAATGACGAGTTAGTGCATGGTGACGAAACAAAAACGCATTTTGAGTAATTTTACCGGCTGCGTTGATAGGCTTGAGGAAAAACTTTGAGCTTGCACTCTGTTTATGCGATTTTCCCGTGCATTTCAGAGTTAAGTGCTTGCGCGGAGGGAGCAAATTAGTTACCAGTCGAATAAGCGTTAGCGTGAAAGGGCTACTGTAAACACGACTTACATGGCCTGACTGTTGGGCTTCATGGTTTCCAATTGAATTCATGTTTGTATTCAAATAAGTTACACTCATTCCATTTGAACTATTGTTGATGATTTCGGAGTCATCCCCGCTGATTTGCACCTGCGAGCAGTCATGAACGTTGTCTTCGAAGTCAAAGAATCCTGTCGAATAGTGCAAACTGTCCATGCAAACAGATACAGGTCGCGATTGGCTAGCCTTGTCGGTAGAAAGTGAAATACTTATTTGTTGGACCTGAGTTAGGCTATCCTTGCTAAGTTGAATAAGGTGTTCGCTAATATTTTAGCCCAAGTCATTTTGGACTAGAGCCCCCACACCACATGAGGAAACAAACATGCAAAGTGGAAATCGTCATGCATGAACTTCCACGTTCAAATACAATAAGCCAGGCGACGCCTGTTTGTGTTATCGGCTGTTGACCTCGTCACACTGCGACACACCCTTATCACCGTGTGAAGCTGGACGGCATGTGGAGAGGACGGCCTCTGTACCCGCTTGCTGAAGGCCAGTCTCTACGCTATCGGTGACGTCATTCTTCACAATAGCAACTCATGTCCTACCCTTTTCGCTGCTCCCGAATCCTGGAAGCGCTCTATTATCCACATCCATAAATTCGGTGGCACTGCGTTCCCATCTAATTTCCGGTTCATCCCCCATCATCCCCGTCACCACCAAAGAGATGGAGTGGGTTGGACAAAAGCCGCTCCACAGCCATCTCTCCAATAATCATCTCCCCTTTGCTTTCCAGCATGGCTCCTGACCCTAGCGCTCCACAGAATCCGAATTCGTCGCATCCGCTGATATCTGTCATCGACCGCAATCTCAAGGCCGCCGATAGCGGGGGAAATATCAATACTTTGCCTAATCGATATGATAAAATTATTTGACGTCATTAACCGCGACATCTTGTTGTGAAGACTAAAACTGACGCCGTTAACACTGCCTGTTTGAGTCTCATATTACGGGACATACGCAGAATATCACACTCCCAGGCGCGAGAATCTCACAACCTCTGGATAATGCTCTGAGCGTATTCCAAGGGCCCTGGGGCCCTTATTGTTCAGCAATTTACTAGCAACATGACTTTGTCTTCTCCGAATGGTGACGTCGTTCCGCATGCTGATGATGCTTAGAAAGGCACCACCGGAAGAGGAAGTATCTTTCAGCACTCATCTCCCTTGTGGGAAATGCTCTCTGATATCTGGATGTGTGGCTTCCACGGGGTCAACGCGTGAAAACACAGCTCACCGTTTTCGAAACTGCCAAAATCTGCGCAAGCTACGAAATTTTCAACCCTATCTTTTGTGACATAACCCTTGCACGATGCAGTGAAGTGAAAAATTTCGGCATCACTTTCGAGCAAACCCTGTCTTGGGACAACCACGTGTCACACGTTAGCCGCTGCTGTACAGGTACCTTGACCGGCCTCTCCAACACCCTCACATCTCACGTGTCACACGTCAGCCGCTGCTGTACAGATACCTTGACCGGCCTCTCCAACACCCTCACATCTCACACCAGGTGGCATTATCATCACGCTGATCGCGGTCCTCGTCCTCACGCATGTCATCACGCTGATCGCGGTCCTCGTCCTCACGCATTATCATCACGCTGATCGCGGTCCTCGTCCTCACGCATGTCAATTGCTGCATGTCGGCTTATGGTGGCGACACCGAAAGGAACGTTGACAAAGTTTAAAGTATTGAACTTCTGCGATCCGGTCACCCTTGGACGTCGTAAGACGTAAGTTGGACTATGTGTCCGGCCTGAGAGAGAGAGAGGATGGACTGGCCGACCGCGCAACGACTAGCAGGCTGCTGCACGTCGAGCCTGGCGCACAAGGCTAAGTGTCCGGCCTGAGCGAGAGGATGGGCTGGCCGACCGCGCAACGACTAACAGGCTGCCGCACGTCGAGCCTAGCGCACAAGGCTATGTGTCCGGCCTGAGAGAGAGGATGGGCTGGCCGACCGCGCAACGACTAGCAGGCTGCTACACGTCGAGCCTAGCGCACAAGGCTATGGTGCACAACAAGCCAGACTCGCTCCCGCTCATCCCCCGAGCAAATAGATCTCTTATTGGCACGGAACAAGAGGCAAGAGCACCTGCTTAACGCGCGCCCGGGTGGCCGGTTGGATACCCTTCGTTCGGGTGGAGAGGTCAATTTGAATCTCCCCCCCCCGAGATCTCGGGAGCTAAGAGAGCTAGAGACACCAAATTCCCAAGGTGTGTTGACCTGTACGTGAGCTCACTTAGGTCAGATTTTGAAGTTCCTAGGTCAAGATCTTCAAGTCATATAAGGTCAAACAAGGTCCAATTCCAGATTGGTCTGCAAAGGGCCCCTAGGCCTAGGCAACTGTTCTAAGCAGAATGTCACACACTCAATTAAGGTCAGTGACCTGGTTTGACCTTTTAAAGGTCATGATGACCAAAACGATATAGGACTGTTTTGACTTTTGCATTTGGATAAGCGACGAAGATTACGCTAGGCAGTATGTTCCTAAAAACAAAACGTTGACCTGGGTTATTTTAGGTCAGTGACCTATCCTGACCTATTAGAAGTTCATGAAAGGTGTATGATGCGTTTCTTGCTATCAATATATTCGAAATGAGCACCAGAAACCAGTCCATACAGCAAGCCCGAGAGTAATAAAACGGGTTGGTTTCGACCGTGGTCTGACCTTCATGCCTGCACTTAGGCCAATGCTATTTGTTTATTCGTTTGCTGTGTCGCCTAAGAAAGTATCTCAGAGATGTATGGCTCCGTCTAACACTCCGTTGTTTGATCGGATTGAACGATTCCCTAGAACGGGCCTTCGCTGAAACCAGGGTTTAACTTTGACCTGCCATAGGTCAGCGACCGTACAAGCTGCATCTAAATTAGTGATTTCATAAGATCCGCTATTCAATTGTCTACAGCTATGCAAAATTTAGCACGGCTACGCCGCGCCGTTTGGAAACCATTCCGGGAAAAACCTCGGGGGGTTCACTTTGACCCCCTCCCTACCCGAGCGCGTGCTAACGTGGCCCGCTCGAGGACCGCGGCTGGGAAGCGGCGCTTCTCCGCCAGAGTGCCGACCTTACATAACGAGCTCCCGCCCAATCTCACGGGGCTTAACGCCGGAGGCATTCTGACGCGCTGTGAGTGCCAAACTCATGATCGGTCGCCGGGATTAGTTTCTGCCGGAAATGTGTAGGACATCTTCTCTTGTCCGTATGCGTGTGGGATGTTTTATGTACGTGCACTGCGTGAATACATATGTGCATGGAGTGTGTGATGACCGCACGGTTCATCCCGTCCATATGTGACGCGGAGATGAAAAGCCGCCGGCAACAGAGGATTGCCCTACGAAGCCAATGCATACAGGCGCACATACAATAAGATATTTGGGCTTTACTGAACTTCGCATGCCGTGCCGCAGATGGACTGCGAAGACGCGCGGAACGCAGTCATCGGGAGCTGCTGGCCAACTGCGACCTGGGCGACTCGGCGAGCTCCGCGGAGATACTGTTGTACGAGCACACCAAATTGGAGGCCGAGGCCAAGGTAAGGACACCGTGCAGGCTTCTGCTGCTGCCGGGTGGCCACGAGCTCTGCAGCCGCGCCCAGCTGACTGCGGAGACGCTGCTGTACGAGCGCGACAGGCTAGAGGCAGGCATGTACACGTCATAGGCTGGGCTCCGCTGGAGATCGCCTGCGAGTTATTGAAGGCTGCGTGCTGCACATCAGACGCTCTCACGCGTATTATTGAAGGCTGCGTGCTGCACATCAGACGCTCTCACGCGTATTATTGAAGACTGCGTGCCGCACATCAGACGCTCTCACGCGTATTATTGAAGACTGCGTGCTGCACATCAGACGCTCTCACGCGTATTATTGAAGGCTGCGTGCTGCACATCAGACGCTCTCACGCGTATTATTGAAGGCTGCGTGCTGCACATCAGACGCTCTCACACGTATTATTGAAGACTGCGTGCTGCACATCAGACGCTCTCACGCATATTTCATGGCGAAGATCACGGCATATAGTAATTTTTTTTAGAGCTGATGGTTCATATTTCTACCGCGATCAGTTGGCAACGGTTAGATGGTTAGATGGTGTCGGTACCTCAGCGTGAGATGAAAAATGGTAAGCTATTGCAAATTAATGCGCAAATAACATTTTTAATTTTATAAAGGACCCATTTTCATGCACGATCGCCAAATTTTGCTGCCTTTTGCCCTAACGTACAACTAACTCTTGCGTCCAATATAAGCCTCGTGCTGGATTACTATTTTCCAACTAAACGTTACTCTTAAGTCTGGGGTGGTATTTGTACTTTGCAAAATGGGTGGAACACACATGTCATGATTTCACTTCACCATTTGTGTATCAAGTTTTGACTTAAGTTTGGTATTGCGCACTCAAGACCATTATCGTCATAGGTGGTTGTCACCAACATCGCTATTGAACATCGACAACGATTCGATGTTCCCACGCTTTAATTGTCGGTTGCGGTGTGAGATCCCACGCTTTAATTGTCGGTTGCGGTGTGAGATCTTGTAAGTATTGTGATAAAATGCTCAAGATGCTGATAGCACGGTGATAAAATGCTTCAAAAGGCGACCTGCGTGTTGCGCTTTATTTCAGAACGTGCGTTAACATTTGCACGACCAACAGTCTATGGCACAAATAATATCACATCGGGCATGATTTTTCCTAGAAGAAACACTACAAACACTACAAACAGAGAAGCCTGTTCAGGAACCAACCACAAGGACATGCTGTTTGTGCTAACAATGCAGACGAATGCTCAGTAACAACAGTCCTCGAGCTCCTCACACAACGGACATCGAGTATTTCTCACCGCCTCCCTCACGCCGCACACATAGCTTTATCCACCGCCTCCCTATCACAGACCAGCATTGGCTAACAGCGGCCTTCCCTGCGTGAGGAGCTCCATCATAACCGTCGCCCCGGCGGCCTTACTCTTGCGGACTCTGCACGCGCAGCCGTTCGGCCCAGAACAGCGCCGGGTGCTTCTCCCGCAGCTGCTGGTACTCGGGGATCTGCGCTGGCGGCTGCGGCAGGTGCTCAGCCACGGGCTGGAAGCCGCCCTCGTCGGCCGTGTATTCTACCGAGTACTGGCGGCCGTCGTCGCCGCGGTACCGGTACCCGCCCGTGCTGACCAGGGTTCCGGTCTCCGGCTCGCTGCCCGGTGTCACCTGGCCCGTCTCCTGCGCCGCCTGGCCATCAGACAGCTCGTAGCTGTACTCGTAGTTGCCGTCGGCGTCCATAGAAAACGTCTGGGAGACGATCTTGGTTCCGTCGCCGGCCGCCGTGCCGCCAGTACTGCCACCTGCGCCGCCGCCTCCACTGCCGCTGCTACCACCAAAGCCGGCGCCGCCTCCGGAGTCACCGTACTCGCTACTGCCGAACCCGCCACTGCTGCCACCGCTACCGCCGGCGTTACCGCCGGAACTGGCGCCGCCTCCGGTGCCGCCGAATCCACCACTGGCGAACCCGCCGCTGCTGCCACCGCTACTGCCTACCGCTACCGCCGGAACCGGCGCCGACTCCGGTGCCGCCGAATCCACCGCTACTGCTGCTGCTGCTGGTGCCGCTGCCATCGCCGCCTCCGCTGCCTGCCGCTACCGCTGAAGCCGGCGTCGCCTCCGGAGCCACCATACTCGCCACTGCCAAACCCGCCGCCGCTGCCACCACCTCCATTGCCACCACCGCCGGAACTGGCGCCGCCTCCGATGCCACCGAATCCACCACTGGCGAACCCGCCGCTGCTGCCACCGCTACTGCTGCCGACACTGCCGGAACTGGCGCCGACTCCAGTGCCACCGAATCCACCACTGGCGAACCCGCCGCCGCTGCCACCGCTACTGCTGCCGACACCGCCGAAAGTGGAGCCGCCTCCAGTACTGCCGAATCCACCACTGCTGCTGCTGCTGCTGCTGCTGCCGCCGCCGCCGCCGCCGCCACCTCCATTGCTGCTGCCGCCATTGCCTCCACTGACTGCCGCTACCGCCGAAGCCAGCGTCGCCTCCGGAGCCACCATACTCGCCACTGCCAAATCCGCCGCCGCTGCCACCACCTCCATTGCCACCACCGCCGGAACTGGCGCCGCCTACCGTGCCGCCGAATCCACCACTGGCGAACCCGCCGCTGCTGCCACCGCTACTGCTGCCGACATTGCCGGAACTGGCGCCGACTCCGATGCCGCCGAATCCACCGCTGCTGCTGCTGCTGCTTGTGCTGCTACCATCGCCGCTTCCACTGCTGCTGCCGCTTCCGCTGAAGCCAGCGTCGCCTCCGGAGCCACCATACTCGCCACTGCCGAACCCGCCGCCACTGCCCCCACCTCCGTTTCCGCCACCGCCTGAACTGGCGCCGCCTCCGACACCGCCGAATCCACCGCTACTGCTGCTGCTACCGCCACCGTCGTCCACTTCCAGCTGCTGCCGCCGAAACTGCCTCCAATGCTGCCGCTACCGCCGAAGCCGGCGTGGCCTCCAGAGCCACCGAAGTCGACTACTGCCGCTCAGGCCGCCGCTGGCACCTCCATTGCCTCCACTACCACCAAAGCCAGCGCCGGCTCCTGTGCCGCCGAATTCGCCACTGCCAAGGCCGCCGCTGCCGCCGCTTCCATACGCTTCGCTGGGCGAAGGAACGCCGACGGTTCCCAGTGGCGTGGGAAGGCCGAGAGGCTTGTTTTCGACAGTCACTGGTGCGAATGAAACTTGGCTTTGAGAATTGGCGACATTTGAAGACAGTCCGACAGCTCCCTCAAGAGCAACGGGAGGCTGGTCCACCAAAGCTGGTGCAAATGAAGGTCGGTCCGAAAAATCCACGGCACCAGAAGAGGATTCCAGTGGCGCATATGAGCCGAAGAGAGATCCGCCATTGACCTCCGGAGATGTCTCCTGGGGTTCTCCAGAGACGGGCAGTGGTTTGGTGCTCACAAGCTGTGGAGCCGCGGCGAGAATGCCCCCACTGTTCCCCGTGTCCGGGGACTGGGCGCCCGACAGTGGCAAGTTCTGCTGGCCGATGTCGGTCGGCGGCAGGTCCAGCGGCTTCAGGAACGTGGCCACGTTCTGGCCGGGGAGTGACGACGACGCGGAGCCGAATGTGGGAGGGGGAGCCGGAGGCTGCGGCTGAGTGGCGAAGCTGCCTCCTTCTGTCGCCGGGGAGGCTGAGCCACCTCCAGCGTTGGCCGGCGGTTTGTAGCTCCACGCCGGGGGCTCCACGCCGCCTCCGACCGACGGAGAGGAGCCGTGGGATCCCCGAGCCGGCTGTCGAGAACGCGCCCTGTGATGAAGCGTCTCCGTCCTCGCCCGGAGGCACGTAAGAAGTCGAGGGAGAACTGACGTCTTCGCCGTTCGTCTGAGACGGGGGCTGAATCTGCGGGAAGTTCTGCTGACCAAGATCGGTGGAGGGAAGGTCAAGTGGTTTCAGTTGGGTTTGCACGCTCTGGTTGTCGATAAACTGGGTGGGGTTTGCGGAACCCACAATGCTTCCATCTCCCGACTGAGATGTAAACCCGGATGACGGCCCTCCCGTTGAGGTCCCTTCCTGTTGACTGCCAATACTCTCAGAGGACGGAGGAACATAGGAAGGGGAGGGAGAGCTTATGTCTCCACCGCCAGATTGGGAAGTGAGCTGGGCTGAAGACTCGCCCGTTGAAGATGATCCCTGTGAAGGGAGTGTCCAGCACTCTCAGAGGACGGAGGGACATAAGAAGGGGAAGGAGAGCTTATGTCTCCACCGCTAGATTCGGAAGTGAACTCGGATGAAGACCCTCCCGTTGAAGATGATCCCTGTGAAGACACATCAACACTTCCCGCCGAGGGTGGAACGTATGAAGAGGGCGAAACCGCGATGCCACCACCAGTGGGCTGCAATGCAAGCTGGCCTGGCTGAACATTTTGCTGTGTGGGGAAGAACGATACCCCAGCGTCTTCGCCACTGAAATGCGATTGAGACTGCGGCAATAGCCCTCCAGATGAAAACGTACCCTGGGGCGCAGGCGCAGAGCCTCCATTCCCTGCATTGGGTGGAGTATAGAGAGAGGAGGGGGAGTTTGCGTCCTCACCACCTGGAGTATAGAGAGAGGAGGGGGAGTTTGCGTCCTCACCACCTGGAATGTGGAGAGAGGAGGGGGAGTTTGCGTCCTCACCACCTGACTGGAATGTGAAGTCCGATGACGAATCGCCCGCTGAGCCGATGCCCTGCGTAAATGCATCGCCACCTTCCGCTTGGGACGAGACATGTGAAGGGGAAAGGGAACTTATGTCCCCTGCACCAGTCGGAGGGGCCGGAGATCCTCCAGGTGAAAACGCACCCTCAAAAGGGGAGTTACTTCCAGCCGCGCTAGGTGGAACGTACAGAGACGACGGAGAGCTGATGGATCCGGTATCTGGCTGGGATGATCCTCCCGTCGAGAAGGATCCCTGGGAAAGCGCATCGCCACCATTTGTGTTGGGTGGAACGTAGGAAGATGACAGAGAATTGGCTTCTTCTCCGCTAGGCTGGTGTGTAAGTTGGCCTTGTTGGGTATTTTCTTGAAAATCGGTGTTGACTGCTGGCAGTCCCAGTGGTTTGAGGCTGGTGGGAGTAAATTGGTTGCCAGTTGTCTGAGTGGGGAATGAGGAGCCTGCATTGTTCTCAACGCCTAGCAGAGGTGCGAACTGGGAAGGAGACCCTCCCGTCGTAAATGTTGGCTGCGAGGCACCGCTTCCTCCGGAGGACGGCGGGACGTAAGAAGAGGACGGGGATGTTGCACCGCCACCACTGGGCTGGGACGTAAACTGCGAGGAGCCTCCCGTGGAGAACGATTCCTGCGAAGGCGAGCCCTCTCCTCCGGCAGTGGGAGGGATATAGGACGAGGGCAGCGAGCCAGCGTCTCCCGCTGACTGAGATGCGGTCCCGGCTCCGGCTCCTCCCTCCGAGGACGTCGCTGTCGCCTGCCAGGCGTCCCCTCCGCTCTGCTGACCACTGGTGCCTGTCGTCAGCGGCGTCCAGCCGCCTCCCGTCGGTGCCGGAAACAGCGCCGACAGGCCGTCCCCACCGGTCGCCGCGCCATCTGTCGGCTGCGGTGGGAAGTACAGCTGCGGGTCGCCGCCGGGTGGCTGCGGCAGCGGCGACGGCGGCGGCGTGTCTCCGCCGCCTCCGCTCGGGTGTGAGTTCCCGGCGTGGTGCACCCCGCTGCCATGGTGAGACGCGTCGTGCGCGCCGCTGCCCCCGGGCAGCAGACTGCCGACGGCGGCGCCGGCCACGCAGAGGGAAGCCAGCAGCATCCACTGCGGAGGGACGGCGTCATGAAGTTGCCTCACGGCGCTCGTGACGCAACGCGCGGGAAAGGATGACACTCGATTGCGTGGAGCTATGCCGTATGTAAATTTCCGGGTGGCAGATTGGGCCGGTGCCAAGATGAGCATCGGCAGCGCCAGAGCGGGGACCAGTGAAGCATGATGCAGACGGCCGGGCCAGGCGACGACGGCAGAGTGCACGGCGCCGTAATGATCCGGCCGCGCGCTATTCGTGTGAAAATTGCTAAATTGCTTAATTGCCAAAGGAATGGCGCCTTAAGGTTGTCCATAGTCACATATGGTCTGCTCACACAGTTTCATGGGGTGGTTGAAAATCTGTATCTACGTAAAACTGCTTAAGGATATTCGGAGCTAAGTCAATGAGGCCATTTGTTCTTAAGTATTGACTTAAGCTTAGATGTACCGCGATGCCTAATACTACATGTCTGATCGACACAATAATACACTTAACATGACGTAATATTTCAAGTTTCATCAACGTAGTGGTCAATGTATAAATAAAATTAAACAATTTCAGCCAACGTTCAACAAGTCAAAGCTACGGACCCAGGCAATCGTTCATATCTGCCGTCTTGCTCAGGAGCAGAACTGCCGGGGGGAGCCATACGGAGAACTGGAGCCGCACTAATTGGGTGACCGCCTTAGGGTGCACATAACCAGCCCAGATTGAAGTACGGTGTCGGGGAACACTTGGTACTTAACGCCAGGTTCAAGTATACGACGAATTTTTAAACATTGGTGTTCGCCTCAGGTGTACACAACGACCCGAACCAACCCCTAGAGCTTAAGCCGAATTTTGCCCTTTTAAACCATCCACCAAACTAGCACCCATTTTATTTCGGAAACCCTTTGTGTACTGTGTTGCAGTATTTCCGCGTGGCTGGGCAGCTGCTTTTATCTGCGATTGTCGATCATGTTTAAACATTTCAACTAATGTTTTGGATTCAATGCCATTTGAAATAAATTGTTTGAAATTGCCAACAACGGATATCCTACTTTACAAAGCTTCTTGAATTCAGCGAAATAAGGTTTGAGTTATTGAACAACAAGCAACAGCCACACAAAAGAACCTTATTCATCCTAAACCACTTCGAGTGAGCACAATCATTAGACAATTTTTTAAAATTATAATGCCGTGTAATATTGTTTGCACCTGCAACACATGGTGCATCTCAACTCAAGTGTTGCCGCCTCAGGGATCCCACCGCTGTACCCTTCCCTGCCCCTGAACCCGTACTATGTTTGCATCGCCTGACAGCGATGGCACCTCGCCGCCGTCGAAGCTGTGCGATGCTCACCTGAGAGCGCGCCATGCTGGCGAGGGGGACCGTCTCTGACACTGACCGCTGTCGACTGACATCGCTCGCCGCCGTGCCGCATTTATACCTCGAAGAAAGGACTGCGAAAGGCGCCCGCTCCCATATTGCAAAATAGGCAATACTGCAGCGCGCCTGCGCGGCGGCAGGCAGCCTTCGCGTTGATGTATGGAGGGGCGGCTGCGAAGCGCGCGGCCCGGGGGCTTCTCCCACCCGGCGAGGCGCACCTGGGGCTGACCTGGAGGTGGTCGGGGCTGCGGCGGCCGGCGGCGCGTCTTCGCCCGCGGGGGGCCGCTCTGCCGGCCAACGTGACGGGTCAGCGAGGTCACGCCCGACATGTCGGGCCTGCTCGCTGCACGCCCCATGGCCAGCACGGGCGTGATAACGAGAGCGGTGCTCATCAGACGCTGCAGGTGGTTGATGGGCGGTTCGCGGATTGTTGCACGTGCAGCGTAGTCCGCTGGTCGGTGGGGATGACTGTTGGTATGTCCGCAACCCGCTTGTTGCCGCATTCCTGGTCGAAAGCGGCAGGTTGTTAAAATGCTCTCTGTGAGCCGGTTTGGTACTGCTTTAGGCCGGTGCTCACTCACGCTCCTAACCACTAGCGTTCGACGACTAATGACTGGCATTTGGCTTGTATGTGGAGCATGCTGACTTGACCTATTGTGGGGTGCCTCCAAAAGCGGAGTCATGCATGGTTGCTTGAAATACTGTCTCAGCGCATCAGTTTGCATTTATGGGTTCATCGATTTGTGTAAACGTCGCCAGTGAGATGTTCACAGCATTTTTAATCAACAAGTAGCCCAAAAGGAAACAATCAACGAACTGGGACGTGGAATGTGGTGACTACTCAACGTTTAAGTGCCGGCTAGCCACCTCCCCGAAGTGTGTTTGTAGTTACATTCTAGTGCTCTGTCGATGCGAGGAGGTAGGCCGGGTGGCCTCAAGCACGGTTGGTTTCTGTATGCGCCTTTTCCTGTGGAAAGAAGTTCAGACTTTGTTCAGTGCCTCGGTATACAAGGAATCGGAAACTGGAAAACAGAAAGAGGTACCGGAACGAGCTATCTTCGCACCGGTATGTAATAGAGAGAGGAGAGAGAGAGAAAGAGAGAGAGAGAGAAGAGAGAGAGAGAGAGAGAGAAGAGAGAGATAGAGAGAGAGAGAGAGAGAGAGAGAGAGAGAGAGATAGAGAAGAAGAGGAGAGAGAGAGAGAAGAGAGAGAGAGAGAGAGAGAGGAGATAGAGAGAGAGAGAGAGAGAGAGAGAGAGAGAGAGAGAGAGAGAGAGAGAGAGAGAGAGAGAGAGAGAGAGAGAGAGAGAGAGAGAGAGAGAGAGAGAGGTATATGCTTACGTATTTGCATATATATATATATATATATATATATATATATATATATATATATATATATATAGCATAAATAACTCATATAAAAGTTACATATGAAAAGCTTGTTGCACGTATGACAGCAATCACCTGCCATCAACAAACTGACTGATGGAATTTGATAAAAATAACACCGTTGTAAAAATAGCACATCACTAAAAGACTAACAGTCATCAACTCGCCAGATAGTGTTAAATTATGGTTGGATTGATTGCAGATCAAAGCGCTGCATGTGTTCATCAGCTTATGCTTCGGTGGACTGCCGGTGCTTAACATCAACGCCAATGTATGGGACGAATATATTTAGCAGAGATTTTGTCATGGACATGGCGAAGCCGACAGAAGCTGGTCTTGAAATATGATGTGTTATCATATTTTATGAGGCCTCTCGCATATCCTTTGTCGTGAAAGGCGACATCTTTGAAATAAAAAACATTCGAGACCCATACGCCTAGGTCCATGCTTTTATGCCATTATTTTAGCCATACGCTCATTTATACTAATTGCTCATTGGCTGGCATTAGCAAGAGCTCATTAACATTAATCAATGCACTTGGCGATGCAAGACTTCGCAAATCACGTTACCAGACGCTGACCGTCTAGCCCGGGGCGATATCAGTTAGGATTTTACGAGGCATGCAAATGCTAAATCATAGCTTGCGTCGCAAACACGCAGGCCGAGTTCAGCAGAGAACCAAGCTACTGGTCAAGTTAGCCTTGAGCCCGCACAGCTGGGTCATGGGGACTGCCACCATACCGGTCAACCTGTCCACTGTCTGCCGCTCCACCGCGCACCATACCGATCAGCCTGCCCACTGCCTCCCGCCCCACCACATGCCATACCGATTAGCCTGCACACTGCCTCCTGCACCACCGCACACCATACCGATCAGCCTACACACTGCCTCCTGCTCCACCGCACACCATACCGATTATCCTGCACACTGCCTCCTGCTCCACCGCACACGATATCGATCAGCCTGCCCACTGCCTTCTGCTCCACCGCACACCATACCGATCAGTCTGCACACTGTCTCCCGCCCACCGCACACCATACCGATCAGCCTGCACACTGTCTCCCGCCCCACCGCACACCATACCGATCAGCCTGCACGCTGTCTCCCGCCCCACCGCACAACATACCGATCAGCCTGCACACTGTCTCCCGCCCCACCGCACACCATACCGATCAGCCTGCACACTGTCTCCCGCCCCACCGCACACCATACCGATCAGCCTGCACACTGTCTCCCGCCCCACCGCACACCATACCGATCAGCCTGCACACTGCCTCCTGCTCCACCGTGCACCATACCGATCAGCCCGTCCACTGTTTGCCGCTCCGTTCTTTGTTGTGCATTGCAAATCGATTACCATTGTGTTGCCCTGTTTCCCTGTTTGCCCAAGTTTCCTTGCTCTTACCTAAGAGCAGAGCCAAGGGTGAGTAATGTGGACCGTGGCGTCTCGTGATACGGAGGGTTATGCAATACACCTAAGTGTGCTCCAATTATTTCGTGATTTTGGCGCCAATTATCTCGTGATTTTGGCGCAGCTGGCACTAATATTAAACCTGACCTTCTCGCAGCTGGACTTTGGCGCATCCCTGGGTCCATTGCTGGACCTGCCCTTGGTGTTATCTCAATGTATTTACCAAGTTGCGCTTTGCAGGTGCATGCTTATGGAATGCCGTATTGAATAAGAACACTATGTAAGGCGTGCTAAAAATGTCGTTTCCATGCAAACGATTGACTGCATGTTACTCAAACGAGGAGGCTCTGTGTACTGAAATCAAAGTTGTCAAACCTTTGCTAATAATCCCGTCATTCCTTCATGAAAATGTCAGCTGTATCCTGACAGCTATTAGCTACGGTTTCACTTCAAGTAATTATTTTCGTAAACGGATGCGTTCCAGGCGATTCATAGGGAGATAGGATATTGCATGAATACTACCTTAAGCCGTCTGATCGCTGTCATCTTATGCTAACCGGCTGATTTATTACACAACATTGAGTGTTTCTTTGCCATGCGAGGAAGTGATTGTGGAACATCCTCCGTTCCTGTGACCATGTATATTAATGACCTGGACAAGACGTGTAGCGCCTCGGTTGTCATGTGCACGCCACGTGCGGTCGGCTCTGCGCGCGGAGCGGCCGGGCGGCGGCTGCGGTGAACGCGTCGCGCCGCTCGTGACCTGTCCTTCAGCTCGCCCCTCCCCCTTTTCGGTGCCATGCTCCGTTGCGACAGGGGGTTGGTGCGACAGGTGGCGCCTAACGCCCGTCTACAGGGAGAAGGGAGTGCCGGGATGCGCTGGCGGCGACCCGCTAGTGGCTGCCGGACGCCCACGCCGACCAGTCGGTCAGGGTGGGTGGCACCGAGCGTCCGTCCACTGGGAGAAGGGAATGCCAGGATGCGCTGGCGACAACCGCTGGCGGCTGCCGGACGCCCACGCCGACCGGTCGGTCGGCCGACGACTTTCAGGCCCGGTCCGGTGCGGACCTGACGCCCCAGCGGGCCGGTCCGGTGCGGACCCGACGCCCGAGCGGGCCGGTCCGGTGCGGACCCGACGCCCCAGCGGGCCGGTCCGGTGCGGACCCGACGCCCCAGCGGGCCGGTCCGGTGTGGACCCGACGCCCCAGCGGGCCGGTCCGGTGCGGGCCCGACGCCCCAGAGGGCCGGTCCGGTGCGGACCCGACGCCCAGCGGGCCGTTCCGGCGCGGACCCGACGCCCCAGCGGGCCGGTCCGGTACGGACCCGACGCCCCAGCGGCCCGGTCCGGTGAGGACCCGACGTCCCAGCGGGCCGGTCCGGTGCTGACCCGACGCCCCAAAGGGCCGGGCGGCGCCGAGGGTGACCGGTCAGTGGCGCCAGGTCTGTGTAGCTCGGGCCTACGACACCATGGTGACCGGGCGGTGATTTGTTGCCGACGTTCTAGTCCGTGGAGCTTAGCTCGGTGGCGGGTTGATTTGTTGTGAGTTTTTAGGCTGCATCTGCAATCGCTTGCCATCGGTCTTCGGCACGGTGTCATGTGGATCGGCTTAATCCAACATAGGAGATATGTCACTGTAGAGCACAGTGGGCCGCTGCAAAGCAAGAAGAGAATGGGGACGGGAATCGCTGAGTAAGACAAGGCGAAAGGAAAGTACCCGGTAGGGCATTGGGGTCGGGAACAACGGCATGAGAGACAGCGAAAGGAAATGGCTCAAAAGTAAATCAGAGACAGAAACAGCTGAAGCGGCTGAGAAAAAAGAAGAGCACACTGCAAAAATTTCGACCAAATGGTCATTCTACTCGCGTTGATAACTCTTTCATGAGAGTTTGTTTGCTCCATGTCTCCTAACTGGTATTGTCAATCATGTTTAGATGTGCACAAAATAATGTAAAACGTTGCAACTGTAATGACGAAAGACGAAGAAAACGCTTCAACTGAAATCACGAAAGCCACGTGCTGACAGCATGCTACCGTGCCGACACGCCGATCTGTGCGAAACGGCTCATCCTGCTTGCGGGCTGCTTTCACGTGGATGAGTAGGCCAAAGCCAAAGTCGCGCGGCTGGGAAACCAGTCAAGACCTGCCGCCGCTACCCAGTCGTGAGAACACGGCTGAGTGGAGTCAGAGAAACGTCAGAGCAGGGGGCAAAAATCTTCAGTTTTCTCTTCACTGGGGGCTTAGTGTGATCATCTTCTGAAAATGTCTTGAACCATCATCGCATCATTGCGCCACATGGTACGCTAGGTGGACTGCAAGAGTTTCGTACCGACAAGCTACCTACACGTGCCAGGCCCTCGCCACCCTGTCACACCATGCCTTTCCGGGACGACTCTGGACTGTAGTAGGCGGATCCCCGACAGGAAGTTGCCGCGTGCTGGCGTTCCGCTTTCGCAAAACCAGCCGGCATACGTGCGGCGGCTTTTATGCCCGTGTTCATTAAGGGTCAGCAAGGAGAATAAGCAAGGTGTCGACCTGTCCAACCGGGGTATGCAGATGCGTCTGCAGAATGTTGGCCGTGCAGCGCCGGTCTGAGGCGCAGTCTCTGTCCTGGTGGCCTGAGCAGATTTCTCGCGTCATGTGGACGCGCAGCCCCCCCCCCCCCCCCCCCCACAGTCGGAAGCGGAAGACTCGCGCCCGTTCGTGATGCCAATCGCGTCGTAAACCGGGATGTGGACGATGGCAGCCCATATGCGGAGCTGAGGACTCAACGGCTGGCAATCTCCTAATGCTGTCGATATTTCGCAGATGGAAAACTGTATCCGCTGGTTTTGTGGAGCGATTGGCCCAAAAGAAAGTTAGGTCAGTTCGAACGCTGGGCGATGTTGATGGCGAAAGATTCTTGATTTCGTGATGGATAAGAAGCATATTAGCCTTCAATACGCATCAAATCCTTAATGTTCGCCACTCTGCCTCATCCGTTCCCCGTACTGCCCTCCGGTGCAAACGTCAAAGAAATACCATATCTGCTCCAAGCACAAGCTTGAAAGTGTTTTATCAAACATTGTGTATTTTGCTGGGTGCAGTGTTGACGCAGATTCCGGACATTCGTTCTGGCCCGGCAGAGGGCTCTCCACCGGCCGTGTCGTCACAGTGGCTTGCTCAGCACCATTCACCCGTGCCGCGTGCCAACTTATTCGTGCCGGCTACCTGCAGATGTCCTGTGCTCTCATGGCGCGTGCGGATGTGGGGCAGCGCCCTCCAGAGGGCTCCCTGTCAATGTTGAACAACCGCCAAATTGTAGGGACAAACACTCGGTCTGGGGTTTTGCGATGCTGTCGTGGTGCGGTCGGATGCGCCCGTCTCATCCAGAGTGCGAAGGCTGGTTTGCTTGGCTGATAGTCGACACGCCCGTGTGCAAACACACGTCCGGAAGATGGCGACAGAGCTCCGCGCCGGTCATGACATTTTTGTGTCGTTGCGCCACGTGCCGTCACCCACGAAATCAGCACAGCGTACCGGGTGACTGATTCGTATAAGCTTCTCTGCGTCCAGACTTCGAGCCGGTACTCAACATTCTTAGTGCACTCCAACCATTTGTTCATGCTGATTGTCGAAGTGCGGTTGCATTTGACCAGCGGCGTGGTGGTAAACGTTGTGCAGTGTTATCCCAATCCTGGCAGGTGTACATACTTGTGTTAGTTGTTGTGAGATTGCTATTGATTAAAACCTTAGCTGTAATATTTTTACGAGCATATTCCGATGCTTGGTTTGTTGCCTAAACTGACGGCTTACTTGTTTAGCTTTTGTTTCAACACGGTGCAATTAGGCATTAACATGCGCCCGGGTGACCGGTTGGATGCCCTTTGCTCAGGTGCGGGGTCAATTTGACCCCCCCCCCCTGAGATCACATGAACTAAGGGAGCGAGAGACACCAAATTCACAGGGTGTGTTGACCTGTACGTGAACTCACTTAAGACAGAGTTGGAGGTGTTTGGGTCACAACCTTCGGGTCAAGTATGGTCAAGCAAGGTCAAATTTCAGGTTGGTCTCCAAAGAGTAACTAGAACCTAGATAACTGATCTGAGCAAAAGGTCACATGCTCACTTAAGGCCAGTGATCTTGCTTGACCTTTTGAAGGTCATGGTGAACAAAATAATACAAGATTGCTTTGAGTTTTGCATTTGAATAAGCGACAAAGATTACGCTAGGCAATATGTTCCCCAAAACAAAAAGTTCGACCCGGGTTATCTTAGGTCAATGGCCTGTTCTGACCTCTAAGAAGTCAATTGAAGATGTATAATGCGGTTCCTGCTGTAAACAAACTCGAAATGAGCACCAGAAACGATCCCATACACCAAGCCCTAGAGTAATAAGTCAGGTTGGTTTTGACCTTGGTCTGACCTTCAAACCTGACCTTAAGTCAATGTAATTTGCTCATTCAATATTTGTGGTGCCTAAGAAAGCATCTCAGAGATGTATGTCTTCGTCAAACACTCCGCTGTTGTACCAGATTGAAGGGTTATATTGAAATATACAGCGGCCTAACCACGTGTGAGCAGCCTGTACCAGCACATGTGAGCGGCCTGTACCAGCCCATGTGAGCGGCCTGTACCAGCACATGTGAGCGGCCTGCACCACCACATGTGAGCGGCCTGTACTGCCTGCACCAGCACTTGCGAGCGGTCCATGTTCGTTCGGCTGTCGCTTACGGCCGCCGCTCCTGTGTTGACAGGCGGTGCAGGACCGCGGCCTGCAGCTGCTGCGCGCCGCCGAGGAGCTCGTCCAGCGGGGCACCTACGCCCGGGAGCAGCCGCGCGGCAGAGCCTACGCCGCGCTCGAGCTGTGCTCTCAGCTGACGGCCGGCGCAGAGCGACGCCACGGCCTCCTCACCGCAGCCGCCGAGTTCTTCTCGCTGGCGCAGCAGGTAAGGTGTGGGCGGATGCTGTGCTGCTGAGGCTGTGGTGCTGAGGTTGTGATGCTGAAGCTGTGATGCTGGGGCTGTGATGCTGAGGCTGTGTTGCTGAGGCTGTGGTGCTGAGGTTTTGATGCTCAGGCTGTGATGCTGAAAGCGCCACGTCAGCTCTTTGCAGGCAAGCCGCTGGGAATATTTCAGTGTCGGACGGCTTCCGTCCCGAGCTTCACTCCTTAAACGCTTGACGGCGGTCACCTCATTTTATACCACTGTGAAGCATGGCGAGAGGGCATTTCTACGCACTGCTCGGCACCTGGAATATTATATATTTTTACTGGTAAGCTGTTTTCAAAGATTTGATCCCAGCCGCTTGGACGGATGGATTTCTGGGATCAAAGCCTAGGCTAAGCAGCGCTTGTCTTGTGAGCCCTGCCCCGTGCTGTCCGATTGCGCAATTATATGTCAGCGGCAGAATTTGATGGCGAAAGTTTATTGTGCCACAATGCTCGGCACTGTACGTCCTGGCGTCTGATGTCACTTGACCTCAAGCGCGGCCGCAGCCACGGGCCGCAGGCGATACCTGTCAGGAACAAATAGCAAGCGCCTAAATCAGCTCGAACCCACCCCATTACGGGCGGATGGATCGAAAAGGAGACGCTCTTACTAGCTGAGCCATCGGGGCGTACGTTATCAGGCAATGTTCCGGAGTAATGAGAGAGTCATTGCTAAGTTCGGTGCTGAGACTCCCTGGCCATGGTCATGTTGTATTCCTCCCCAGAATGCGCGTGCCCGCCGTGGTAGTCCGACAGGGTGCCGTTGACACGAAAGCATGTGAGCATCCCTTTTTTCTCGTCAGATTGTGGTGCGCTGTGATAGCGAGGTAAGCGGTGGCACATACCCCAGACACACGGAGTCCGACACCCATGAACGTCATCAGTGGGTATGGCTCGTGGCAGGTTACATCAGGTTACACGGGTCAGGCCTGACGAGGGAAGGCCACATCCGAAAGTCTCAACAGCCAGACGTGGAGCGACAACGAAATAAGTACAAACAACACGGCGGGGCGTTTGTAGAGCTGAAGAGATTGCCGGTTCATGTGACCAAAAATTGTGCGACCAGAGTATGACGGGGAAGCGTTATTCACGTCAATACATCTTTTGTTGGCGCATTCGACCTAACTTGACATCGGATGACCTGACCTAGTTGTGTTCTATAGAACCGAATCGCTGTATGCCGCAAGATAAAGCAAATCGATAGGGGTCGTCTGAAAAGCAAAAATCGCTCGACCAATCGTTAACAGGGATAAAATCAACAGAGTGTGCCTTGTTGGTCGGTTGAAAGCAAAATGCCACAACCACTGTGACCTCGCACAGAGAGGCCATCCTTCAGATGTTGGCTTGAGACTGCATGCTGTAATCGGTAGATATCAAGGGTCGCCAAGCGGTCGATAGAAACGCTGGGCATGGAAAGCAAATGTTTCCGTGGCTATTGTTTTGACCCTAATGTGTAAATTTACCCTCAGAATTGCACGGGGTAGTTCAAAATCTTTCCGTTTGTTACCCCATATCTAGTTCTGACCATTTCCTTGTATATTACCGTTTGTATTCTGAGTTATTCAGAAAAAGCAGCTGCAATCGAAGCGGAGAAATATCGTACTCGTGCAGCTGACTGGACATCTGTGGACCAGACTGGTCTAAAACGAATGGTGCTGGCATTAAAGACCAACACTTGAATTTGAATTCAGAAATTTAATTACCTTCATGCATAATTATACCTATGTTTTACATCGTCAATGGGGCTCTTATGCTGACCTTCCAGAGGTTATCGATAAGTATAATGTAATATCATGTCCTATTTAACCGAATCTTCTCGATTTATTGCTATCAAAAGGATGGGCGTTCGCGTACAAAATATTCGAGACTGAAGTGGATTTGTGCACGAAACACTTCGGATGCTATTAACTGGATGTAGGCCATTGTTCGTAAGCCTAAGAATGACTATATTTATTTTCGGGCACGCTGGACTAAAGCCTGTCTTAGATATGTACTTCGATTACACACGCATTAGGATTAAATAACAACCTCCAGGCTAAATCTTAGCTGACAAATAATCAGTCGACCCTCGTACTGTGGCTTCGTTTTGAAGAAAGGTCAGAAAACTCAACAGCTTTGCACCTCTACCATCTACAATTGATGGTGTGAGTTTTTCGGATATTTTGAGCTCTGTCCACGATCAGAGTCTAAGAGCCCAGTCTTGCCGAGACTCCGAATGTAAACTCGCATGCCTCGATCACTGTGGGTGTTCAAGAGATATTCGACTCCCGACGTTACCTAAAGGCAGCCTGAACCACTGGGCATGCTGGATCAACTTTGCTGGATCAATTTGCTGGCTCTCATGTGCCACGCACCTGTCGTTCTGCGTTTTCAACGATGCTCGAGCATGGCCATATGCCTTCTGGTGCCACCAGAGCAGCTTTAGTTACAGTGCTTAACGATAAAGTTAGAAATCTTTCGGATAATGACAGGTATGAGTCTATCGCACTAACAAGCGCTAACTCAGAGACATTGGAAACTATTTGTTTAAGCCGTAGCAGGGACTGTCTTTGCAAAAGAAATCATCAGCATGGTTTGAAGTCGCGTCATTCTACTGACGTGGCCATTTGCGCCCTCACATAAATGTCTTAGCACTGTCTACGCCACAGCAGTCTTGTGGTCACCTGATTTTTCGTGCTAGCAAGGAATTGGACCAAGTTTATCACTAAAAACTTTTTGATAACCTGCTCAGGAAGATAATGAATGTGCATATGGTTAAGGTTACCACATCATGGCATGCATCTCAGTGGTTCCATATTCAGTTGTGCAAAGATGCTACCGAAGACTTTACCGTTTGAAATGCGTTCCTCAGGGCGGAATATTATCGCCGTTTTTGTGTAATATATACACTGATACCTTCTGCATAGCTCTTGAGAGCACCGATATGGGTTATCAGTATCAAGGCAGCATAAATCACATTGTGCATGCAGACGATACGTTTTTTTGTCGCCATCACGTTTTGGTTTGCAGACCGTTGAATATTTGCCAGGAATTTTTGCTGAAGAGCATGATTTTAAGTGCACTACAGAGAGACAATGTGCGTGAGAATGAGACTTGAGATGTTTATGGAAAGGAAGTTGCCACAATTGTCATTGTGTGATGCAACATTAACATATGTGACCGAACATAAATGTCTTGGCTTCCCTCTATCTGATGCGTCTTGTGGCAACTCCGAGACTCATCAGCGATATCGTCTGTTGTGCTGTCGAACAAACTCTCATCCGCAGGCTTTCCACGTGCTCCTTGGTTCAAAATCATTTATTTACGACACATTGCCGCGGTGTACGTTGTGTTCACCTGTGACATTTGTATAATGCAACTGTTCTTAAGATGCTCAAGGTGTGTCTGAACAGCGCTTTCCGGATATTTTTTGGTTACGAAAGAGCTTGTGGTGCTTTCGCACCGTATGTCTCAAGCACATGGTTAACACTGGAGAGATGTATAGAAGGACGCCACGGGACTACCTACCGCGCCTTGGCAATTTGTGCAATCGCATCATGATATCTCTCCGTGCCAGTGATTTTGGAACGAGCTCGTAGTACTAGGTACCGTGGAATCTAACGTTATTCACGCTGTGATGTGTTCTCTTCATATGGACCAAGAGTTTGTAATACAGTTGTCTGTCTTTGTCCCTGTCCCTGTCCCTGTCCCTGTCCCTGTCCCTGTCCTTCTCCCTGTCCCTGTCCCTGTCCCTCAATGTGTCTGTACCTGTCTCCGTCTCCGTTTCCGTCTCTGTCTCTGTCTCTGTCTCTGTCTCTGTCTCTGTTTCTGTTTCTGTTTCTGTTTCTGTTTCTGTTTCTGTTTCTGTCTCTATCCTGTTTCCGTCTCCGTCTCCGTCTCCGTCTCCGTCTCCGTCTCCGTCTCCGTCTCCGTCTCTGTCTCTGTCTCTGTCTCTGTCTCTGTCTCTGTCTCTGTCTCTGTCTCTGTCTCTGTCTCTGTCTCTGTCCCTGTCCCCGTCCCTGATCCTGTCCCTGTCCCTGACCCTGTCCCTATCCCTATCCCTATCCCTGTCCCTGTCCCTGCCCAGGTCCCCGTCCCGTTTCTGTCTCTCTCCCTGTCTCCCTGTCTCTCTCCCTGTCTGCCCCTCTCCCTGTCTCTGTCCCAGTCCCTGTCCCTGTCCCTGTCTCTGTCCTTGTCCTTCTCCTTGTCCTTGTCCTTGTCCTTGTCCTTGCACTTGTCCTTGTCCTTGTCCTTGTCCTTGTCCTTGTCCTTGTCTTTGTCCTTGTCCTTGTCCTTGTCCTTGTCCTTGTCCTTGTCCTTGTCCTTGTCCTTGTCCTTGTCCTTGTCCTTGTCCTTGTCCCTGTGCTTGTCCTTGTCCTTGTCCTTGTCCTTGTTCTTGTCCTTCTTGTCTCTGTCTGTTTTCCTGTTTCAGTGTCCGTCTCTGCTCATACACTTCAAGTCTTTCACCGCGGGCGACATGAATGAGTTCTAATGCGTATTATCGAAATTGACGTTTCGTTTCGCTTTAATATTTTTTACAATAAGCTGTGGCAACTCAACGGCCCCAGGACTACACATGTGAATGTATCAGTATTGCTGTAATTGCCACCTTGGCCTGAGTAAGGGCTGTGGACGCGCTGTCCAGCGACACTGGATACAAGTCCCAAAGCGAACTCAGCGTTAGCCCGACTGACGTGGAAAGCTCACGTGGGGACTGGTCAACATTTAACCGTGGTTAAACCGCCCACCGTGAAAAGGTGGGCGGTTTAACCCAGGCTTGGGCGGTCCCGTACCGCAGCATTGTGCGCAAAGCATCTGCGGTTCTGGCTGGCAGAGACAAAGCTATCCAGTGAATCGGACCGTACAAGTTGGGTATTAGGTTCAAGATGCACGTAATAAGCTTGGATTGGCAGATGCTTTGAACCTGAAGTCACCCGTGCGGAACATTCGGAATAGTTGTGTTGCACTTTTAGAGTCGGTTCACAAAAAGACAATTTAAGCCCTGCAAGCATCGGTGGAACCACCACTAGGGTTGATCTCCCACCGATTTGACTATTTCTATGTTTTTCCTTATAAAGTGACACCTCAACATAAATGAACTATACAAACACTCAAGGTCCACGCTGGCAGACCTTGCTACGTTTTGCCTATGTGCTCGGTGAGAGAGTGAGTGGTGGAAAAGGGTGATGGGTGTCCTAAGCCCAAGGCCGTCTCGCACTTGGAACCAATCGGCATGCCGCAACAGTCCAATAAACAGCACCCTAAACTGAGGATGGTGACTGGTTTGGATCGCTCTTCTTAGGTGCTTGACGTTGCTGCTTTTTACCGCCGTCATGTCATGCATTGCACCATTTGCCGCGCTGCGCCACTTATGTCTCGTGCATTGCACCGCAATGCATTATGCATAGCTCATGGGCCCGCGGCTCGTGCACTGTGACCCACGGCATCGGTAATACGTTAGGCGGGCTCTATCTGTGTGTTGGTCGTGCGATTTTCACGTGTATGTTTTTGGGCGCGGCGTCGTACGTATTGCACCATCACGAAAGATGCTCGCTGGCAAGCCGGCCATTGTGAAATGCGGCAGGAATGTGTCACGAGTGCCATGCACGTTCGGTGAGCCCTGCATGGCTTGTTAATGCTGCACCACTTCAGCCATCATAAAACATATATTACCATGTATATACTTGGGGTACGTCTTATGCAAGCCCACCCAGAGGCCAAATTTTCCAGGGGTTAACATTTTACACTTCGTGGTTCATTCAGACGTGTGCGATGCGTGTCCACGGGTCTTCGCTGCTGCAGGTTATAGTGTTCTCTTTCCGTTAAATTTTGGTAACTGACACTCTTATGACGCCTGTCTGGCTACGTGCTCACACACTGTAGTTTATCTTTACGGCAGGCACGATGGCTCGTACTTAGATCGAAGATAATGGATCGGTCAGTCGGCGTCCACCGGTATACTGTGCTCTCAGCACAGCTGTTTCACATTCGTCAAAGAGCCAGGTTTCGAAGCGTGGCGATGGTTTGTGGCCTGCTCGCCTTAAATAATCCCCCGTGTGAATCACAGAAAAGTCCGTCCCCGTGTGACCTTTCCTAAACCCGTGCAGGCTTCGGACCGGCTGCTGCGGCTGGAGGGTGACCTGCAGGCGGCGCCGGCGCGGGACCAGGGTCCGGCGCTGGGTCGCGTGGCCGCCGCCCTGGAGGAGGCGGCCGAGCCGGCACTGCGGCGCGGCCAGCAGCTGCTCGGAGAGGCCGGCCCAGGCTCCGACGGTACTGAGGTGGGTGTACCGGCGCTGCGAGCCTGCCCCGACTCCGACGGTGGCGAGGTGGGCACACTAGTGCTGCGGGGCTGCCCCGGCTCCGACGGTACCGAGGTGGGTGCACCGACGCTGCGGCCGCCCCCCCCCCCCCCCCGGCTCCGACGGTAACGATGTGGGTGCACCGGTATTGTGGGGCCGCCCCGGCTCCGGCGGTACCGAGGTGGGCACACCAGCGCTGCAGGTCCGCCCAGGCTATGGCAGGTCAGGCCGGTCCACCTCGCCAACTGGGAGTCGGGGGGCGGGGGGAGGGGAATACTGAGAAAAACTGATGTGACCCAGCCGCCGCAGCGGTGTCTTTCATTGGGGTAATGCTAAGATGGCGATGCCTGTTTGTTGGGTTATGTGGTTGTCTGCCGTACCTGTCGCATGCTGCATTGCCACCCTGGTCGGGGGTGCATCGCCACACGGGGGGGGGGGGGAGGGGAGGGTCCTGGCCCAGGTCAGCGGCCGAGACCGGCGGCCGGTGGCATTCCCAGCGCTGTCTCCGCTGGCGCCTGGCGGTGCCCGCTCGCGCTGTCTGGCCTTTCCTGCCTGCCCCGCCAGATAAGGGTCAGGTGAGGCCAGACGGGAGAGAGGAGACACTTGAGGACGGAGGGTGGGCCTGACGGTGACGTCATGGCTTGCGGAGAGACGGAGACCGGGGTCGTGCCGGGTGCTCACTAGGTCAGGAATGGAGGGATCGATGCCGGAAGACGAGAGAGGTTACACTCTACCTCAGTCATCTCTCAGTGTGTAGAGCTCTCCTTGTGCTGTTTGTCATTCTGGTTACAGCGTCGCCGACTGCCCGAGAAGCTGGAAGTCGTGAGCGTCTCCCCAGATAGGAGCAGGAGGGAAAGAAAACACGCATAGGTGAACGAGCGCGAATGGAGTCTCGCTTTCGATTTCAGGGTGTTTCCCGTTGCATGGACGACCTTCGTAGGCGACTAGATTCGCTGCTCAGCCGCTGCCGAGCCCACAAAGAGAAACAAAACCAGCACACGCAAGCTTACAACGAGTTCATCCGGAGATACAATTTGGTATGCATGCGTCAACGATATGGGCAGTTGGGACATAGTCTTCGTATTCTGATGTCATGATGTGATCGATGGGCTTAGCCTGCGGACCAGGCAGTCGTAGCGCAAGATCGGTTACCAGTTTTCAAACCGGAACAGCTCTCCATAGCCACGAGGTAGCATCATCAGTACGTGTGTCGTTTCCAAGAAATTGCATTAGAAGGCCAAACCACGGAGCTGCCATATCGCTATGGTGCTTAACACATGCATCTCGGACAACAACAAAAGCATGAAAGCGATGGAAAGCGCTGGCAAGCTCTCAGGTAGACAGTCGCCAACCGGACACGCAGAACCCATCAGAACCCCTCAGCCTCCTCCCCCCCCCGCAGGTATTCGGCTGGCTTTCGAACGTGGGCGACTCGTTCCTGAGGACTCACGCCGACCTGGGCCGCACGCTGCCGCCGGCCGAACAGTTCGTGACGCTGCACGAGCGGTTGCACGGGGACCTCACCGTGAGTCGGCCGTGAGGGCCGTGACGTCTGACCGCGGGGTCAGAGGCGGCGACCCGGGTCACTTCGTGCCCACGGGCGCCGCTGCGGGGAGAGAGGAGCGTGAAAGGGATGCGGTTACCGATATCGAATGTTACGAAATGTAGCATCGAGCCTGCGGTGTTGCGTGGCAAGACTGAATCTGAATTGCCCACAGACCCCCTCGACCAGCCGAGGATTCGCCAGTCGGTGGTTTTACCCCTGTTGGTGTTCATACCATGTACAGATGGCTTCAGTCGGTCAGTACAGTGCGACGAATTTGTGTCTGTTCCAGACGAAGGGCGGGGAAATCGACGGCATACTATCCATCGTACCGGACATGGCGGGCAAGCTGGACAGACACCAGGCCAAAGACCTTGAGCTGAAGGCGGGCGACCTGCGAACACAGTGGACGACACTCCAGCAAATGATAGGTGGTTACAAATGCCGGCTGTCTGTTTTCACGCTGCTGCCATCGCTCCGGTTACATCACATGCTCGGCAGAAGACGGGCGTGCCGTGAATACAATGGGATATTGCATTGTCCGCCGAGGGATTCCTCTCAATGGCAGACTGCTGTGTAATCGCTGATAATTAGATTGTGCGCATGTTATTTATGTACCGCAGTGAAAAGGCTTTAATCTGCCGTGCTGAAGATGACTCCTTGAAACGGCGTGTCGCAACGGTGGTGCAGCGGTGCGCATAGGTGCGGTGCTATATTTAAGCATGTGATTCGAATCCGGACATGGCGTTATGACTTGATCCTAGAGAGCCTCTCAACCTCCCTTTCCCACTCACATACATGGCCAACGACATTCTCTTGCTGGCAAAGTGATAGATCGCTTTACGGCTGCACGCCGGCTCAGGCCGTGCATCTTATTCCTTCAGAATCGCGCGTTGGAATATGAACTCCATGCTTTTAGCGGGACCAGTGATTTTTGTGAGATTTCATGGGTGTTGGCGAGGCGAGGGTCTGCATAATCAGCTGATCGGGAAGATCCACACTTCGCATTACTATTCTGGGCCTTTCTCCGCTGCAACATCACCGTTGGCAGCCCGTGCCACCAGCCCTGCCTTCGGCACATCCTCTCGGCGCCGCACCAGTCGAGAGTGGTCTGCTTTCCCGATAATCCAGCGGCTAGGGCTCGCCTTGTGCCATCGACGGGCGCCACACTGTTCACTGGCGGGCCATCACACGACTGTTTCTGGCTACCGCGGCGGCCACAGCGCGAGCAGCATAGCCCGGTGCGCGGTGGAACGGATCAGATCGAGGATATTGTCAACACGTAATCGGCAATCTTAAAAGTGACACCATTATTGGTATCCCTGTCTCGTACGTCGCTGCTTTTTTGTGTTGGCCGGCAACGTTCTCGGCACCACACTCGCCTTCTATAACTGAATTTAGTAGCTCTCCTGCCGCCACGCTCGTTAACTCATTCCACCTGACGTCTCTGTCGTCGCCTTTCTTCCTCCTTTGGCGGCGTGCTCCCTCGTGACGTGTGCCCTGCGGCCTCTGACGTGCTCCGCCCCCGTTCCAGAGGTGCGGCTGGACGTGGCTCGGCTCTACGTCCGCTTCCACCAGCAGGCGGAGAAGCTGCAGGCCTCGCTAGACGAGTTGACGGCCGCGCTGAGCGGCGGCCAGCTCGGCGAGGAGGAGATGCGCCAGGTGGAGGACAAGTGGATGACCATGCAGCAGCAGTACCACCAGTTGGCCGCCGTTGGACAGCGCTTCCTCGACAAGACACACCAGGTGACTCAACAGGATGGAGACCTCCAATGAATGCTGGCATGCCTTGTGGCATAGATATGGTTTGCTTACAGATGCGTGTTTGCCGAGCCGGCATCGGTTTTGTTTTCATAGTTTGGAGCCAAGTTTGAGCAGGTGGACAAGCGTCACAAAATTGCTCGTTAAGTTCGTGACGCTGCTCAAAGGACTTAATTACGTAACGAAGCGTTCCCCTGAAGAGTTGTTACGGATTCACAGCAACAATAGGTGTATAGCAGCGGCCCACTCGCCGTACCGATGTAGCGGGGCAGACTCGGCAGCGACGCTTCCTCTTAGTGTTGAATTTCTGCCGGTGCGCGCCCAGGTCAGGGACCCGTACCTGGAGCTGCCGCCAGCGCGCGGCTGCGTGGAGGCCATCCTGGAGCGGCTCAAGGATGCTCACCTGACCATCACTGAGCACTACGAGCGCGTGCAACTGACCACCACCACCATCAAGCGCTACCAGCGCCAGTGGGAGCGGTGCCAGCGCGACGTTCAGAAGGTGCGGCAGCGCGGAGCATGCGGGCGGCGGGGGGGGGGGGGGGGGGGCCTGGTGAGGGCACTGCGAAGCGGACGCGAGCGTCGCGGCCGGCCGTGAACTTTGACCGTGTAAGGCGAAGCAGCCGTGGAATTTGACTGAGGCACCGGAGCGAAGCAGCCGTGGATTTAGACGTGCAGGCCGCAGCGTAAATTACAAGGTGAAAGGAAACCAAGGCGTAGGCACTGTGCTGCATAGTGATGCAATGCTGTTGGGATAACTGAGTATTTCGAAGCCCTTCCTTGTCTGTGCCGCCAGGTGGAGGAGTCTGTGTCGTGCCTGGAGTCGGAGCTGTACCCGATCCTGCGCGAGTCGGGCCTGACGGTGGACCAGCGCAATCGCCAGTGCCAGGAGCGGGTGGACAGCGTGCTGCCCATGCTGCGACAGGCGCAGGCCGAGGTCGATCAGATGGCGCAGACGGCGCAGAAAATCGCCAGGAAAGGTAACGACGGCTGATGGTGATCAGCTGACTGTTGTAGTGCAAAGGAGTATTGTCGTGTGAGGGCGACATGAAAATAATGTCTACGTTTGCTGCTAAATGAAGTGTTGCAAATTTGTACGGGGTTTTGGGCCGAAATAGTTATCTTGCAGATTATTCGATGCAGTTCCCAGCCCTGTCCTTCTTAGGGCCTAAACCTCCTATATCGTGAATATGTGCAGACTATTCGTGCAAGCCACTTCAAGGTTATCGGAGCATCCATGACGTCATAATAGCGCCATTGAAATGTTGCCATCCCATCGGCCATGAGGCGATCAAGGTCAATATAATTGTCGAGTCGCTCATATGTGACATTTGTGAGCACGATTTCCAGACATAAATGCCGTCAATTGCCTCTCAGTCATCGTTCCAACTTACGGTGACGCAGGCAGGCAACGGCGTATTTAGGAGCATATATAATGAAGAGAGAAACGTTGGTGTCTAAAGCAGAATTTTCCACTTGAGGTACACCAATGGTTGTAAGTGAGCTTATTTCATTATATAATCATATCTGTTGCTTGTTCGTTTTCCTGAAATGTGGAACATTCTCTTCAATGTAAACATAAATATTGTGTTTCCTTGGTTTCAAAAGGCACGTATCTTGGTTAGCAGGGATGGCGGGTTTAATGCGAACAAGTATCTGATGCGCCTCCCGTTCCCCCAAAAATCACTAGAGCGGGGCGATGATTGCACCTCAAAGTTATCGTCATCGTGGCGTTACCCATCATGTTACCGTATCTTTAGATTAGATACACACGATGCCGTCTGGTTTTTATTACGCACAATGAAATGATTATCCTTCATAGAGGCCTTTCATCCAATCCCCTTTGAGGACAAAGCGGGCACGCCAGGCCGATCAGTACTTATCATTGCTCTTACCTTCTTGCTTACAATTTTGCATTGTTCTTCCATCAGGATCGGGTACCGCTGCGACAGAGGCCGGGAGGCTGGCGCGAGAGCTGGCCACCAAGAAGAGCACGCTGGAGAACAGGGTGTCCGAATACCAAGACACCCTGCAGATGATGGCTTTGTACTTCAAAAAACTTAAGGATGTACGTCAGACCCTGTATCATGTATCAGGTGGTTGGTGTTTTTAATTAAGATCGTAACCGACCGCTGATAATCCACGGACGTACCTTAGGAGTGATGCACAGCAGGACACAGAAATGCTCAGCAAAAATGACACCAATGTAATGTGAGGTGCTCTCCGGTGTCATACGTAACAAAATAACAATGTTGAACACAAGTACCGTCAATATGCCCTGAGCTACTCGGAACGAGGGGCAGCCCGTGAGGGTGTGCATCATCTCTAGCAGCGCTGACTGGTTTTCCAGGTGGACTCGAGTCTTCTGAAGCGGAGGCAGCTGGACGCGGCCCGCCAGCTGCCCCAGGAGACGGAGGAGTGCCAGCAGGCCCTGAAGGAGCACGATGCCACTCAGCAGGCGTTCAGCGAGCTCTTCAGGTGAGCACTAAACGCAGGATCTGCTGAGCTCGCACGAGATGATGGCGACCAGGGTGTCAGGTCTTGTGACTGCACAGACCTGGAAAAGCTTGAACGCGTGCCATTTGTCAAGGCAAGTTGATACGTTTTATGAGCACTGACTAGCACAATATTCCCAAATGTTATGTCCCTAATGCATTATTCACTCTGCGACACAATCCTGGGTGTTCACGGACCAAAGGGGACTAAACTCAAGTCGTGAAGCTCAGGACGTAGTGACGCGTCATGAGAACGGCCTTCTGGATGTGGGCAAACTCCGGGAAGCAGGCGCCTCTTGAAAACACTTAACGGCGAGCTGCTTCGACGTCTTGTTTCCCATCGTCCACGCGGGCCCACGAGGACCCGTCCCACTGACGAGGTGCCGCCCCTGGGTGACAGGCTGGCCGGCGAGGAGCTGGAGCGGACGGTCGAGCAGGTCCGCCAGGTGGAGCCCCCGGCGGCGGCCGAGCACGACATCAGCCAGCTACGGGACGTGCTGGACCGCGAGACGGTGAGCGGTGCGGCGGTGACGCGGCCACGGTCCGGTGCTGGGGGACGACCGGATGGAAAACGGGAAATACCCGTGCTTTGGGTGAAATGCTTGGCGCGCACGCAGTGCAGGATGGGTACCAACAGTGCTGTCTGCGCAGATTTAAAGCGAGGGCGGAGTACAGTTCGCTCACTTGAACCACACTTTTATAACAATAAACAGACAGCATCCTGGCTGATTGGCCAGAACTGCTCGTAGGCTCCCTGTAAGACTTTGTGCAATCCTCCGTGTACCAAAATTATAAAAAGGAGACTGAATATGTAACAAAGAAGGTGCCTACTGAGATACATTTGCGACAAATAACCTAACATTTGCCTGTCCGCGTCTCCTAACCAAGTAAACGTGCCGGACCCTGTAGCCCACTCATCGCATCGCAGTCTAGAGCCAGTGGCCTACTCAACGGCTCGTAGCTAGCTCGTAGAGCCCGTCGCCGGTCGGAGAGCTGTCTCCACGCCTGCCCCAACCGCTCGCACGGCCCCTAGACCAGCGCCGGCGAGAGCCGCAGTCAACCCGGCTCCAAGTCGGCCTCGGACAATACACCGTCCACCGAGCAGCGGCGCCGCGTCGACGCCGGCACCCACCTGCTGGTGTACTACTTCCCACGCAAGCGGCCCCGCACGCGGCCCATACTCGATCGGGACCAGGTAGCGGCCGGCGCGCGGAGGTGCTGCCGCTGGCCGGGAAGCTGCGATGGCTGACGCTGCGTGTGATCCGCCTGGCAGGCTAGCCGTGCTCTCGGCGCTTCTGGCTCGTGGACATTGGAATGGCGTTTGGTTACAATTTTGTGCGCCGTTTTTCTTTCAGCTGGACCTGGCCCGACGGCGTGTGAGCGACTTCACTGCATGGTCTTATTCGACCGCTTTGCTCCAAGTTGATAAAATATTTCGTGTTTTGTACTCGAACTGCGTTAGCTACATAACACATGAGCGCATGTCATCGTGGTTCTCCAGCCTTTTTGCGTTTCGTGGCTTTATGCCTTACTTAATATTCGTGCGAGACTTGACGAACATTGCTGTGGCCAATAACGCTAATCATAACGCACCTTGAGGGGCTCACTCATGCCAAAGCATAAGAGCCCTCATACACCAACTCTGTCAAAAATCATGCCTAGTTGTGGTATACCACAACTACGCGTATACCGCTTCAACATTTCAAACATGCGCCCGTTTTCGAGTTTTATGTCCGTTTCAACTTTTACCATTTGGAATGCGTAGCAGACTACATCGCTACTATGCTATCTGCACTACAGGAAATTATATCCATATTTGAATGAGGTTCCTCTGTGATGTCCTATGCAGCAGCATTGGGGACTGAAACTTGGAGGTAAACCACGACGCGGACGTCATCATTTTGCTGACAGACAAAGTGGGAGGAGTCGCATACATCAAGGAAGGAAGTCCTGGAGAAGCAGGTCACATCCACCGTCTTCAACTCGGAGCTGAATGCCATCAGCAGCCAGCTGACCGAGCTGCACAATCAGCTGTCCCAAGCCAGAGGACGCTACGGCGACAGTCTGCAGGAAGCGAAGCAGACCAAGAATGCCTTCAAAGGGTTTGAAGACACGATTGAGGTAAGTCTCTCATTCGGGCCAGTGGAGCACACTTGTGTGGCAAATCGGCAGTTTTCATGGACCCTCGCTTTACATGTCTAATTATCCGTTCGTGCAAACCGTACTGCGCTGCGCATTTTAGCCAGAACCCTACGGACAACACATCATTTTTCTCGTGACATGTTATATCAGCAGCAAACCGCCGTGTCGCACGGTCCCTCACGTTTGTGAGACAAGCGACACCTGCCTACCCCCACCGGGGGGCCGCTACTCCTCACGGCTGCCGCGGCGCGCGCAGAACACGGGCCGCCAGATTGAGACGTTCGTGAGCACGGCGCACGAGTACCTGGGCTCGGCGCCGCGGCCGGACGCGGCCGACCAGCGGCTGCGCGAGCTGCAGCAGAGCTGGACCACCCTGCAGGAGCAGGTGGCGGATAACCGCCGGCTCACCGATAGCGCCATCGAGTACTTCACCGCACTGGAGGAGGTGAGTGACTGGCCGGTGCGACTCCGCCACGCTGGGTGGGGCAGTTGCGGTTTGGTGCGGATCGGCGAGTGCGGCTCCTGACATCTGATGCAGTTTGAAACGCATGAACGCTCTGGTGTACAGGTTTAATTGTGGTTTTCCTTTCCTGCGTTTACAAAATGCACCTGCCATGCATCAGTTGTGTGAGAATTATCGCACGGAAGATTATTACCGATCACGTATTCGGTTTCGTTCGATGCCGTTTAGCCTTGTACTAGTTTCGTGCCTGGTTATATCATCCAGCCGTGCTCTATCCCATTCCTACACATCGAACTACAGTATCATCAGCGGCGAGCCACGGTCGTTCCACCAGCACTGTGCCGTCTCCGTCTGCAGGCGGAGGACTGGTACAAGCGCGGCGGCCGGCTGCTGGTGGGGGTGGCGCGCCGGGTGTCGCAGGTGCGCTCGCCGGAGGAGGCGCACGAGCTGCGCGCGGAGATCGGCGACTTCCTCAGCCCTGGCGCCGAGGAGCAGCGCCACCGGCTAGATGAAGTCACGGCCATGGCAGACCGGCTGTACGGTGAGGACGCTGGCGGGAGGCGAGGTGGGGTGTGCCACGGGCGGGGAGGTCCTGTCGCAGATGGCAGACCGGCTGTACGGTGAGGACGCTGGCGGGGGGCGAGGTGGGGTGTGCCACGGGCGGGGAGGTCCTGTCGCAGATGGCAGACCGGCTGTACGGTGAGGACGCTGGCGGGAGGCGAGGTGGGGTGTGCCACGGGCGGGGAGGTCCTGTCGCAGATGGCAGACCGGCTAGGTGGCGTTTCATAACATTGTGTTTTATTTCTGGAGAGAGGCCGGCGGCAAGTAATTTGCGTGGGACTCGCAGACCAGCTCAGGTCACTTCAGGGAGGGCGGAACTGGACCGAAGGAATGCTATCGCGGCCCGATATGTTCAACTGCGTCCTGCATAGATGTAGCAAAATTGCATGCACTGGCTTAAAACTGGCTTGTCTCCATGGTCACTGTTCCTTTTGCTTGCTCTCCCCCAAAGTCAGAGGATGTCGCCTTCTGATCATATCCGCAATCCCAAGGATGCCCAGCAACTTTCCTGTCGTAGCGTGGGCACGGTCGTCCACGTGCCGTTCCCTGGCCACAGGATCGCCCCAGCCGGCGCGGGTGACGGCCGCGGTGCAGCAGAGCCAGGAGATGGTCGAGTCGTTCGAGGCGATCCGGCGCCAGCTGCGTTCGCTGGTGCAGTCGCTGGAGCTGATGCAACAGGAACGTGACACGCTGCGCCGCGAGAAGGACCAGCTGTCGGCCGGCATGCAGGCCGCCCGCCAGGTGAGCCGGCTCCGGCCAGCTCTCTGCGCTCTCACTCGCGGCGCGCGCAGTGCGGAGGCGCTTAACGGATAATGTGTAACGCGGTGCCAGCGAGCCGAGTCAGGCTGGGTGGGTTTGGAGCCGGGCAAAGCCAAGTTGGTTGCACGGAAAACAGCCAAGCCGTGCGACTTAGGACAGGTGGGATTCCGCGATGAACTCGGATCAAACGGGGGTTACCCATAAGCTATCTCCCTTCCTGTTCTCGCCTGTATTTTCTTGAGCGCAGTGAATGTGTTTTGTGAGGGTTTTAGGAAGACCGGGCTTTTACTATGGTTCTTTTGCCTGTTGCCTTTATCACCAAACGGCGATCTTGAATTCGCAAATCTAGGCTACATTTAGCCGTTACAATTTCCATTGTAGTTAAGGCGTTATGCACCCCTTCGTGCCAGTCAATGCGATCTGGACCAGCTTGACACAAATCTGACAGTGGCGCCATCTCTGTCTGACATAGGAAGCTGAAGCTGCCCGCTCGGCCGCCGCCGCCGCTGATGAGGCGCGCCGTGCTGCCGAGGCCGCCGCCCGAGCCCTGGAGAACATGCCACGGCCCAGCTCACCACTGACCGTGCCCAAGGTCGACGTCTGCACGGAGACCACCACCGAAGTTAGAAAGGTATGCGTTGAGTCCTTCGAAGCTGCTCTCAGATAAGGCCTGTTCGGTATTTAATGTTTTTACAAACACGTGACGTCAAATGGCTGACCCGTTATGTTGAGCCAGAAGAAATTTGACTCCTTTGCTATCTATTTTGATACGTTGATATGCATGGGTCGTAGTTGAAGGTCTCATTAGTAGACACGTAAATAAGATTTCCATTCCGGTTTATACAGGCTCCGTGGGTTCCAGCGAAATATCGTTAGCCATTTAAATGTGTGAAACTCATTCTTCCAACCCAGAGGCAACAGAGAGTGAAAAGGGCCCGTCCTCGGGATGGTCTTTGCTAGTGAAATATCCCAGTCGGCTCAGGGCTTAGAGGTTTGACACTGGCTCGTCAAGCTTACCTGCGTTAGGCAGCCGGTTCAGCTGGACCCGCCCGTTTGTGGAGACGGTGGCCGACGAAGCCTGGTACTGGTGCAGAGCTGACACGTCCTGCCGTTAGCTGGGGAGCGGGGCGGGGGGGGGGGGTCTGTGCTCGGTCGCGCTGGCCGGCGGGTCCGTGCCGCATCCAGCTGCCCTGATCTGCACCGGTGCGAGACAACGCGGGGCTCTCTAAAGGGCACTCTCACGCTCGGCTTGACTTGATTTGCTCAATGGTTTAATTGTTCCAAATATCCGTCAGCCGCGAGCGACTATCGCGCCGTCGTCAGGAAGGTACAAAAACGGCGTATCTGAGTGTTTGCCACCCCTTGCTTACCTCACGCGGTGTATAAAGCTCATAAAATTTCCATATAGCAGCCTGTCTCCCTTTTTCATTCTTCTGAACAGTGTTCACCTTATTGCATGAATACGTTTTCGTAATTGGATACTAAGCTGTCTCAAGGCAATTCGCAACCTGGCGAGCATATTAGCAGTGATGCCGTCTCCACAGGTCACGGTGGACAGATCAACGCAGCAGATCCCGATGGAAAGGTCAGATGCCGCCACTCAAGAGGCGCCGGCGACGAAAGTGGACGCCGGCACGCAGGACGCGCCGCCGTGGCAGGAGAAGAGCACCAGAGAGTCGGCCACTGGCCAACAGGTGTCACCACCGAAGCGACACAAGCGGGAGGAGGAGCCGCCGCCAGTAGTGCCGGTCTTCACCGAGCCCCTGACGGACCAGACGGTCCAGGACGGCGTCAGGCACACGCTCCAGGCTAGGTGCGGGCAACTTGACGCTATTCATCTCGTTTTAAAGAATCTGTATAGGTATCTGCTACTTGGAGTGCTTGCAATTCGAGCCTTACTATTCACTCAACAGCTGAACTTGTGTTGTGTTTATATGGTGCAGGAGAGATGGCACCGCGCAAGCCTCGTACATTTCGGTTCCCAGACGGGCAGCTTAACCACTACACTACCAGCACCCTACACTTGCGCCGTTGTGTAATGCACCATAAGTGGGGGTGTGCATGTGCCCTTAAGTGCCCGACGTATTTATTTAATGATGTCTGCATTTTGTCTTCTTGGTATGCTTTCTGAAGTTTTTTTTCTTCCCCCCATCAACGACAATGGTTGGAATTTGCTGATGATTGTGCTGAAGTACGAAACTGTCCGGCTCGTACATCGACCTCGGGCACTGTTTCCCCCGTTGTCCAGGGTGTCAGGCGTTCCGGCGCCCAAGGTCAACTGGCAGAAGGACGGCATCTCGTGCGACAGCAACCCGGACTACGCCATCGTCCACCAGCAGGGCGTCTGCACGCTGACCATTGAGGAGACGCTGGCTGAGGACAGCGGCGTGTTCACGTGCCGCGCCTGGAACGCGGCCGGCGTGGCTGAGACCCGCGCTAAGCTCACCGTCAGAGGTGTGTGACGGTCGGCCGGCCAGCTGGCGGGGGTGGGCTGTGGGCGGCTTTGGTCTTCGGAAGACCCAAACTGTGCGTCAGTCACAACGCACCGACGTTGTGTGTTGCGTTATCGGTAGGTGCAGCGCAGATTACGTGGTAATTGGAGCACGGAATATTCCGTGTAATACCTTGGGTAGAAGTCCCCGCACGCCTTCAACGATAACTGACTGACCAAGACCTTGATATCAGCACAACTAGTGTCCCCAACTTTGCGGGACTGTGGCTATTGGGGAGCATATATAATTCGGCTCACCACGTCTTCGGCTGGCAGAGGCAGCGGCGGAGGAGGAGCTGGCGCCGCCCATCTTCACGCGCCAGCTGACGGACGCCCGGGCTCGCGAGGGTCGCGCCATCCAGCTCACTGCTACCGTCACCGGCAACCCGCTGCCGGTGGTGAGCTGGCTGCGCGACGGCGCCTGCGTCGACGCCTCGCACGACTACGTCATCACGTACAACAACGGCGAGTGCTCGCTGCGCATCGAGGAGGCGCTGCTGCAGGACCAGGGCGTGTTCGTCTGCCGTGCCTCCAACGTGCTCGGCACCGACCAGACCAGCGCCCAGCTGCGCGTGGAGTGTAAGTCAGAGGAGGCAGCACTGCCAGGCATGGCGAGGGGGCGGGCTGGGAGCTAGGAGGGGGGCGGGGCAGTGCGGCAGTCTAAGGTAATGCTATTCAGCCACAGAGTCCCACAAAGTGAACGATCTCATTACGGCCTCGAATCGGCGCGTTGTTCCGAGTTGTGGCGTGCTTTTCCGTCATAATTCTGTATTAAAGTTCATCGGTGAATGTAGACTGTTCTCTGGTAATTGTGCATATTTAATGACAGTAGATTCTGTACTGGCGCGAGAGCAAATTTGAGGATTAGCCGTGGATATTCGCCATGCAACTCGTCTAAAGAAGTTGCCCACTGACCCGTCCCCTGCCGTGGCCCGGCCTGCTCCGAGCTCTGACCTCCACCCGGCAGCGCGCACGCCGTCCGAGACTCCTCGCTTCACGACGCCGCTGAGTAACGTGATGGCGCGCGCCGGTCAGAAGCTGCGGCTCGAGTGTGCCGTGCGGGGCCTGCCGCACCCCCAGCTCACCTGGCTCCACAACGGCCGGCCCGTCAGAGACAACAACGACACAAAGGTGGGGCAGCGTTGGCGGCGCGGCGCCGCATCGGCCAGGTGGTGCCGAAACTCGTCAGGTGTCCGCGATTGCTGTCGATCATCCAAAGTTTTGGTAACTAGCGTAAGGTTTGGCGCAAATGCCGGCACGTTTACATCTGCAGTCACTCATAGCATCTTCCTGGCTGATCTGGAGCGGCATACCTGAAGCGCTCCTGCCTGGTGAGGGCCGCATGAGGTTGGCTTCTGAGCCGTCGGTCGGCCGAGCCCCGTAGACACTGTTTATGCAGGCTGCCTGCTTGCCTCGTCTGGCGGATGCGGCCGCTCGCGCTGAGTGAGATCAAAGTCGCCGCGGAATGCCGCGAAGTCAAGCTGGCTGGGTGTTTTGTTGAAAAAGTACGTGCGTAAACAGCCAGTGTGTCAATGGTGATGTCTGGGGAGCCAGCACGTATCCGGCTCAGCATTGTCTTTGGATAACCAAAATATCCATGTGAACCATGCCATGGATGCCTTATGACCTCCAGGGGATTTCTGTGTGTTACGTTATGACCTCCAAGGAGTGTCACGTCAAACCCACAACACTGATCGAAATAGAAGCGCGGTGTGGTGTGAACGTTACATCGTCCATTTGTCCCAACTGCACACTAAGCACGCTAGACTGCACCTTAAGCCGCACTAGACCTTACCTTAGATCGCACTAGAACGCACCTTATACCGCACTAGACCACGGATTAGACCGCACCAGACCGCACCTTAGACCGCACCTTAGATCGCACTAGGCCACACCAGACCGCACCTTAGACCGCACCTCAGGCCGTACTAAACCGCACCTTAGATCGCACTAGACCGCACCCTAGACCGCACCTTAAACCGCACTAGACCGCGGATTAGACCGCACCAGACCGCACCTTAGACCGCACCTTAGATCGCACTTGGCCGCGCCAGACCGCACCTTAGACCGCACCTTAGGCCGTACTAAACCGCACCTTAGATCGCACCAGACCGCACCCTAGACCGCACCTTAAACCGCGCTAGACCGCGGATTAGACCGCATCAGACCGCACCTTAGACCAATCGAGACCGTACCTACAGCGCACCAACACCTACAAGCACCCATTAAGCACCCAACTGAGCATCCGCAGCTGATCTCCGGACAAGCCTGCGCTTGCGTCAGTGACCTCCCCCCCCCCCCCCCCCCTCTCCGCTCAGATGACCTCCGGACAGGCCTGCGCTTGCGTCAGCGACATCTCCCCCCCCCCCCCCCCCTCTCCGCCCAGCTGATCTCCGGACAGGCCTGCGCTTGCGTCAGTGACCTCCCCCCCCCCTCTCAGCTCAGCTGATCTCCGGACAGGCCTGCGCTTGCGTCAGTGACCTCTCCCCCCTCCTCTCCGCTCAGATGACGTTCGACGGCCGTCGGGCGACGCTCACCATCCCTGAGGCGTTCCCCAAGGACGCTGGCGCCTACACGATCGTGGCCAAGAACCCAGCCGGCGAGGCCACCTGTTCCTGCAGCGTTTCCGTCAAGGTGCGTGCCAGCGACGGAGGCGGCGGCGGCGGGCACCGGCCGGCGCGACCAATCTCCGCCAGATGGCGCCGCCGCCACCGAGTGGTGCCGATGGATCGAGGGGTGGGGGGGGGGGGGGGGGAGGGTCCCGCCAGGGAGGGAGGGTAAGAGGCGTGAATGCTGCCTCAATGTTGTGGAAGAGAGAAACAATGGTGTTTTTTATTCGAGTTCAGGGTTATCAACGGGTTTGAGTACCAGCGTATGTGAAAAGCATATTGTACTTCAAATGATATCACAGCACTTATAATAACGTTTTGCACTTCGAGCGATAGGCCTAGCCGGCATTCATGGCGGGTTTGGTGCATTTTTAGAAGAGCTGACCAATGAGCGAATGCTTGAATATCTCGACAGACCGAGGCACAGTTACTTGGCTGCCTGTTGACCTTGGCAGCCTGTCCACCAGTCGTGCCGCGCCGTCTGATCCCTGACCTGCCGCTGCAGGGCCGCCTGCCGACCGAGACATCGGACTCGGAGATGGCCAGCGACATGGAGCCAGTGAAGCCCAGCATCCCGGTCAGTCTGCGCGACCTGACCGTGCACTCTGGCCAGCGCGCCCAGCTGGACTGCGTCATCACCGGACAGCCGGAGCCCGAGGTCAGGCGCGTGGCGTCGCGCCGCAGAGCTCATATTGCGCTAGGAGGATCATGAGAAATACATTAGAAATGCAAGAATCACAAACATACAGTATTTCGTGGTGAAATCGATATTTCAAGAAATGTGAGCAGTAGACCTGACATAAGCCATGGTTATGTATTATATATATATATATATATATATATATATATATATATATATATATATATATATATATATATATATATATATATATATATACCGGGTCACATGCACATGCCGTCACAACCGGGCCACATGCCGTCCTTACACATCTGAAGGTGACCTGGCGCCAGTGGGCCGCAGTGCCTGCGAACCCGCCAATCACGAACGCTGTGCGCCCCACGCTCAGGTGATTTGGCACCAGCGGGCCGCTGTGCCTGCGAACCCGCCAATCACGAACGCTGTGCGCCTCACGCTCAGGTGATCTGGTACTGCGGCGACCAGCCGGTCAAGGAGTCCAAGGACTTCCAGCTGCTGTTCCATGGCGACCGCTGCACACTGGTCATCAACTGTGCCCTGGAGGGCGACGCCGGCGGCTACTCGGTGGTGGCCATCAATTCAGCCGGCGAAGCTCGCTCCTCCTGCACGCTGCATGTGCTCCGTAAGTGATGTTCTGGTGCAGAGTGGCGTATATTTGTGCGATATAGGCGATGCAAGGTTGCGGTAGGTGATACGGCGTAGTGGTTTTGGTTGCAATGAGGTTGATAAGGCAGGTGCGCCGTGGTGCTGACGCTGATGACAACAGTACCATTTATTGGCTGACTTCGGGTACATCGTCCGATTTTACTTAGGGCCAGAAACACGCCGTTCAGATGTGCCTCTGTGCTTTGCGTTCCTGGTGATAAACGCATAACATGCGAAAACAGAAACGCAAAAGCCAAATGCGTCTGTGCTGGGCTTGGAGTGGGCGGGCCTGGAGTGTAGTCGGTGGCTAAGATCACGTGCTTGTGACCCACAGCCGAAGAGCCATCCCAAAAGCCGAAGTTTGTCAGACTGCTGAACGATGCCAACGCCGTGGAGGGGCAGCGGCAAGTGCTAGAAGTTGAAGTTACCGGATGTCCTGAGCCCATCGTCATCTGGCTGAAGGATGGCGCTGAAGTCAAATCTTCTGAGAGCATGAAGGTACCTCGTTTGTTACAGTTTATCAGTTGGAAGACAACTTTTATTGCTGCATTTGTATTGCTCGGCACGCATCCCCGCGTCAGCTCCTCTGCCATAAAGACTTCGTTTTTCGTGTCCAGATGGGTGGAAACGTCTTCGATCTTATCTTGGTGCTTAAAGCATAGAATTTCTTACTGCACTGATCTATGTTTGGAGCCTTCACTATTGTCGTGAATTGTAGTGAAGATAAGGGATATTTGGTCCACCAAATGTCTTCTTGACAGTTGGTTCCGTGCCAATTCCATGGCTGTACCATGCTAGCTGTTACATGCGTATCCAGCCCGGGCCTCCCCAGTGTTTCCCATTTTCCACCCTTCACACGCGGCGAGTCATCGTTTGACCACCCCTCGCCCAAGATCACACGCGGCGAGTCACCACATGACCTCCTCTCACCCCAGATCACGCGCCGCGGGTCACCACATGACCTCCTCTCGCCCCAGATCACGCGCCGCGGGTCACCACATGACCTCCTCTCACCCCAGATCACGCGCCGCGGTCACCACATGACCTCCTCTCGCCCCAGATCACGCGCCGCGGGTCACCACATGACCTCCTCTCACCCAGATCACGCGCCGCCGGGTCACCACATGACCTCCTCTCACCCCCAGATCAGCGCCGCCCGCGGGTCACCACATGACCTCCTCTCGCCCCAGATCACGCGCCGCGGGTCACCACATGACCTCCTCTCACCCCAGATCACGCGCCGCGAGTCACCACATGACCTCCTCTCACCCCAGATCACGCGCCGCGGGTCACCACATGACCACCTCTCACCCCAGATCACGCGCCGCGGGTCACCACATGACCTCCTCTCGCCCCAGATCACGCGCCGCGGGTCACCACATGACCTCCTCTCGCCCCAGATCACGCGCCGCGGGTCACCACATGACCTCCTCTCACCCCAGATCACGCGCCGCGGGTCACCACATGACCTCCTCTCACCCAGATCACGCGCCGCGGGTCACCACATGACCTCCTCTCACCCCAGATCACGCGCCGCGGGTCACCACATGACCTCCTCTCGCCCCAGATCACGCGCCGCGGGTCACCACATGACCTCCTCTCACCCCAGATCACGCGCCGCGGGTCACCACATGACCTCTCCTCACCCCAGATCACGCGCCGCGGGTCACCACATGACCTCCTCTCACCCCAGATCACGCGCCGGGGTCACCACATGACCTCCTCTCGCCCCAGATCACGCGCCGCGGGTCACAATGACCTCCTCTCACCCAGATCACGCGCCGCGGGTCACCACATGACCACCTCTCCCCCAGATCACGCGCCGCGGGTCACCACATGACCTCTCTCACCCCAGATCACGCGCCGCGGGTCACCACATGACCTCCTCTCACCCCAGATCACGCGCGCGGGTCACCACATGACCTCTCGCCCCAGATCACGCGCCGCGGGTCACCACATGACCTCCTCTCACCCCAGATCACGCGCGGGTCACCACATGACCTCTCTCTCGCCCCAGATCACGCGCCGCGGGTCCACATGACCTCCTCTCACCCCAGATCACGCGCGCGGGTCACCACATGACCTCCTCTCGCCCCAGATCACGCGCCGCGGGTCAACATGACCTCTCTCACCCCAGATCACGCGCCGCGGGTCACCACATGACCTCCTCTCGCCCCAGATCACGCGCCGCGGGTCACCACATGACCTCCTCTCACCCCCAGATCACGCGCCGCGGGTCACCACATGACCTCCTCTCACCCCAGATCACGCGCCGGGTCACACATGACCTCCTCTCACCCCAGATCACGCGCCGCGGGTCACCACATGACCACCTCTCACCCAGATCACGCGCCGCGGGTCACCACATGACCACCTCTCACCCCAGATCACGCGCCGCGGGTCACATGACCTCCTCTCACCCCAGATCACGCGCCGCGGGTCACCACATGACCTCCTCTCGCCCCAGATCACGCGCCGCGGGTCAACATGACCACCTCTCACCCCAGATCACGCGCCGCGGGTCACCACATGACCTCCTCTCACCCCAGATCACGCGCCGCGGGTCACCACATGACCTCCTCTCACCCCAGATCACGCGCCGCGGGTCACCACATGACCTCCTCTCGCCCCAGATCACGCGCCGCGGGTCACCACATGACCACCTCTCACCCCAGATCACGCGCCGCGGGTCACCACATGACCTCCTCTCACCCCAGATCACGCGCCGCGGGTCACCACGACCTCCTCTCGCCCCAGATCACGCCGCCGGGTCACCACATGACCTCCTCTCCCCAGATCACGCGCCGCGGGTCACCACATGACCACCTCTCACCCCAGATCACGCGCCGCGGGTCACCACATGACCTCCTCTCGCCCCAGATCACGCGCCGCGGGTCACCACATGACCTCCTCTCGCCCCAGATCACGCGCTCTGGCGACATGTACCGGCTGGAGATCGGCTCGGCGCTGCCGCTGCACGCCGGCACTTACGTGTGCGTGGCGTCGAACGCGGCCGGCGAGGCGCGCTCGTTCTCGCACGTGGCGGTGCGGCCGGCCGGAGCGGTCGACACGCGCTCGCTGACACGGCGCCGGCCGCCCACATTCGGCCAGATCTTCAAGGACCAACGCGCCGAGGAGGGCGACGAGGTCCGCTTCGAGTGCATCATCGACGGCCGACCCCAGCCCACGGTGGGTCCCAGTGAGAGGCTGGAGTGGTGGCGCTGGTGTGAGGAGGCGTGGCTGTTTGAATCGGTCGCACAGTGCGGTGATCGTGGGATTGCGTGTGCGGATGCACTTGCATTTTCCTCACCCAAAGATGCAAGGGTGCGGTGATGCTCTTTAGATTTATGGCTCAACCATCTATAGTTTGCTGACATTTTTACAGAAACAACGATCCTCGTTTCCTCTGTCTACATGCATGTCTTCCGTTGTCTGTTCGCCAGCAGGCACCAGGTTGTAACACCCATCACCATCCTGTCAGCGTTGACAGGCTGGTGCGTCGATTCCTCTGCGTCAGTCGGTCTCTGCGTCAGTCCTTCCGTCTCTCAATGAGCCGCCGGCCCCACGCGCCGCGGACCTGCGTCGAAGCCGCACACGTCAGCAAACGCATGCCAGCGGCCAGCGTAATTAACGCGTCGCTCCCGACAGAACAGCCGTCGGCGGCTGGCTGTTTTGCTGGCCTACCTGCTGGCCACCTCCCACCAGCACCGGCTGGCTCATTCGTCAGGCAGCGGGGGTGCCAAGGTTTCGGTTACGTTCGGGAGCAGGTGGCGGCGGCGGCGGGGCCCTGGCTCGCGTCCCCGCCTGGGCCGCGTGTTTTTCGCGTGTGTCTCGGCTCTAACCCCTCCCCCGACCCCTGCCCCACACGCGACCGCCGCAGCCAAGAGGAGCTATCAGCGCCGACGCGGCGTCGGCGGCGTCCGCGCTCGCAGGAGAGGCGGACACTGCCGACGCGGCGCTGGCACTGACAGCGCCGGTGGCCATCGCTGGTGGGGTCTGGGCCCCTCAGCCAAACTCTGCAGGATGGTACAGGGCCGGGCTGTGATCATGCCACCTGCAGAACCGAGAGCTGCCACACAGTAATTCCGTAAGAGACGAGTAAAACTCTTAATTCCTGGGACAGCCTGGGACAGCCGTTCGGAAATGGTTCGTTTTTGTCTTTAGTTCAAGTTTGGTGCATTAGAATGGTCTAAGGATTTAGCGGCATCTGGGACGGTTAACAACACAAGGCTAAAATGATATACAGTGTACCCATGAGTGACAAAACCAAACGAATGTTGGAAACGGCGGTCTTTGCCGATGGAATGTATGACTGTATGAAGGCACGCTGCGCGCACAGGGACAACCCATGCAACGCAGGTTAGTGAAAACAGGTAATTATTATGAAAGGCCTTCTGCAATTATCTATGCTCGTACAATATTATGAAGAACCCTCTCTCCAGCGACCCACACGCAGGTCTTTTCACTGCTACATTACTGCGTGTCTGGCTATGGGGTTGTACCAAATGGATTTATCTAGGCTGCAAAAGGTGGCTAACTGTGCAACAGAAGTCGCATTTGGCCACAACAAATATGATCATGCGGCAGGGGTAGTTGAGGAACTCGGCCGGCTCATCGCCGGAGGACTCGCGCGTTATCGCAGCAGCATGCGAGCGCACAAAGTTTCTATTTTCGGCGAGCCCGCGATGCCCTCTCGTAAGTTGTTGAAGGTGTCCGAGACGCGCGGGCGAAATACGGGATAGGAGACAACCTCCGACCTCTAGGCGACCAGATCGCGGATCAATATAGGGAAGCGACGCTCCCACGGCCGCACGACAGCATTGTATAACGCGCTGTTGCTGCTGCTGAGGCAGCCAAGCTTAGGTGTGATGGGACCGTGAACGTAGGCTGCGGAGGCCATGCGTTGAGTTAGCCCCCGGGCCCTGTCTTCCGACAGGCTTTAAAGCGCCCCACATGGCAGCATCTTGCGGTAACTTAAGACATGCAATGCATGTAGCTATGCGTGTGTGTCGTTTAGGTCGGGACTTACGCATGCCTTTGACTTGTATGCATGCGACTCTAGCATTGGCCTCTATCCCTTGACTTTGCGTCTTATCTATTCGCAATTGACCGGAATAGCCACGTGTATAGTGTGGATCGCCATAATTTACGCCTAACGTTTAGGCATCAGAAAACTTAGGTGTATAAACGTTGAGGCCGGCAAGTGACGTATTTTATTTGCGGACGTTTTGACGCGTAGAAGTCTTGGCGTACGTGGCCGACCCAATGTGGTGCAGTAGTCAGACGGCCGTGATGGAGAAGAACAGGCACTGAACAGCTTAAACCCTGATGGATGACAGTTGCTATGGCGATGCGATCCATGTCACTCAGTGGTAGAAGTGCTGCTAATCTCCGCCGTCGGGGCTAGTGACATGGGGCGTGCCAGAACAGCCTCACTCGCGTTTGCACGGAGGAAAACTACACCAAAACAGCATGCCAGGAACGCTAGCCACAACTGATCACCTGTTTCGGCAGCACACGCCAAGGTCCGGAACTGGTAGCATTTCCTGCACGGCTCGCCGGCTCCCCCTTGGACGGCGCTCATGAACATGACCCCACAGCAGCGTGTATTGGGCACCGCTTACGGGCGGGTGTGCCGTGGGTGGCGACAGCGGGTGATTATTTTAACGAGATTATGGCTCCGGCTTGGCACCGCGATCCGGCGCCGCCATTTACCTCTGGTGCGGTGCCAATGTAACCACACGGTAAAGCCTGAAAGCGCCGCTAATCTTATCCATGGCATCGGCTGATCATCCAGAGCTATTTCTAGAATGATCGCAAGGCTTGCTTGTCTACTCCTGGTCTGTAGTTGTGAGCATTGTATTTGGGGACATACTTCTCTGCTTTAATCAGGTGCAATTTAGCGACAGTTGTGTCTTCGTTAGATTTAGTGGCCAAAGTATTCGCCACGTAAAAGAAAACCTGTGTTTGGCCGTTCACGTCTATTTTTAGCTCAGTTCAAGTTTTATTTTGCTTAGTCGGAGCACCGCTAGAACGCTGCTGTAGTAACTACCAAGCTAAGGTAACGTATAGGTCGAATAGATAAAGTTTGACATATTCATTGGCTCATTTGTTTTGGTTCAGATGCTGCTTCTTTTACATCAATCATGCTGATGGCCTTAATTGCTGTCGATTTAATAATTTGCTAACGTTAGTCGGTACGTCCGGGCGCTGGACAGCATTATGAAATGCTATGTCACAAATTGCGCCATAATCGGACACATTATATACCGCTAGCATTTTCTAAAGCTGATTTCAGACATTTTGCCATTTTTCACATTTGTCATGCGATAAATGTATACATGTGTGTAAATAAATGCAGTGTGTATGCATTCACAAAGCACCACACGCAGTTATCACGTATGCGCAAACCTGGGATAAAAAACTATTGACAATGATGTCCGATAAAGCTTCGAATTCCTCCAGTTTTCTAGGAGCAGTTTTATGTTAAGATTCATAGACCCGTGCCACTAAATTTTCGACGAAGGCATTACAAATTTACGGGGCGAAGTATGGCAAGACGGAAAAACAGGCACATGTTGCCATGTGGTGGGGGTTCCGTGTTGCATTTAGCCATCCGCGTTTGCATATCTCGGCGCACGTTCGCCTCGACATTGTTTTTTTCGGACATAGGATGAATACCCTTTTAGCTGCAACTTTGTCGCATGGATTAAGCTTTATTTCGCCTAACTTTGTTCAAATGAGGCACCGCGGTTTGACGGATTATTTATCACAAGTGTCAGGGAGGGGGGGGGGGGGGGGGGGGGGGGGGAGGGGAGGGGAGTGCCCTTGGTCACTAGCTAGTCGGTGGCGGACAGTGCTGTATTTAGCTCAGTCAAAACAAAAACAGACTTTGAACCAACAAGTCGCAAACAGCCTTGCGTGGTCCGGCCATGGGAAACGAAATTGGAAGGGAGCCGGGTGTTTCGAGCTACGCCAATATTTTTTATTTATGCTCGGCGATGCCTGAACTTCTCACAACAAAAACGGCTATGTCGTGACGGCGCGTTCGGGTCGGGTGCCAAACCTTCAAGTGTCAATCCATCTCGTGTTTTGGAAGCTGTCGGAGCGAACAAACGAAACGCGATTCCCATCACGCACTAAAATGAAACCTGAACCCATTGCGAGGACACCTAAACCGTCACCCACGCGTCGCTCCGGTGCGCCAGGGTCAACAGACGTGACCGCAAGCCTCCCGGTTCCACCCAAGCAGCTGACACCGGGGGCGCCGCTGGGGCCGCACCCCACGCCCGGGCCCCACCCCCCGCCGGGCGTCGCCGTGGCTGCAACCCCGCGCCCGGGCCCCACCCCCGCCGGGCGCCGCCGTGGCTGCACCCCGCGCCCGGGCCCCACTCCCCGCCGGGCGCCGCCGGCCGGTGGCCAAGTGTATCGGCGCCGACGGCCGAGCCGCGCCTGCCAGGAATGTATCCAGTGGCGGCCAATTCTGCCCCGGGGCCGGCGGCACGAGCGCCTATTCCAGCCGCGGCGCTCCCCGTCTGTGCTCCTCTACACAATGGGCCCCTGAGCCATGCCGCAACAGGGTTAGAGACTAGTTTGTCTGGAGGAGGCAGGTCCGGTTTGGTTTGGGCGGAGTTCGGCGGTTTGACTCTGTTGTGCCGTTCTCATTTACCGGACGCACACGCCCGCCGGCCGCGGTTGTGGCTGTTTTAGCTGCTCTCAGCTTGGACTTAACTTTTTAAGACATTATGTTGCCAAGTGTGTCGAGAACTATCGGCAATTTTACGCTGAGCTTCACAGTTTGTCATTGTCGTCATGGATGGTTCATGGTTCTATATGTAAAAACCCATGAGCAAGCACACCGTGCAATGCTGTTGAAGGGCGTTGTACAGTTTTCGGCTGTTTATATATATATATATATATATATATATATGCATAATCATGATATATATATCTCTCTCTCTCTCTCTCTCTTCTCTCCTCTCTCTCTCTCTCTCTCTCTCCCTCTCTCTCTCCTCTCTCTCTCTCCTCTCTCTCTCTCTCTCTCCTCTCTCCTCTCTCTCTCTCTCTTCTCTCTCTCTCTCTCCTCTCTCTCTCTCTCTCCTCTCTCTCTCTCTCTCTCTCCTCTCTCTCTCTCCTCTCTCTCTCTCTCTCTCTCTCTCTCTCTCTCTGTATATACATATATGCATATGTATATATGTATATATATATATATATATATATATATGTCGGTGTGGGTGTGGGTGTGAGCGTGTGGATGTGGGTGTGTGGGTGTGGGTGTGAGTTTGTGGGTGTGTGGATGGGTGTGCACTTTTATACACTTTTCGTCACAAAACCACAAAATTGTTCCGCGAATGGTATTCGGTATCACCAACGGGATGTGTTGTCGGCCCCGAAGACAACAGTTTGTATTGGTGGAATATGTTGAAGCTGCGGATGTTTTAGAGTTTAGGGATATGTCGTCCCGTCTACTGTTCGGCCCCCGCCAGCGTCGTTGGCCCCGCCATCAGCTGCGGTTTTTCGAGGTTACGAGAACTGAGTAGACACGAGAGCAAGCTGAGGGTGCTTTTGCGAATGCTGTTGACGCAAAATGACGCTCTGATACTGTTTTTTTCATACTGTTGCGTTGCAAGGTTTTAAGAAGGTTTAGATGCCAATGCCCTGACAGTGATATGATAGCCTTTCAGCTTGCAAGCCAAGCACAGAAAGCATGTCAACTAACCGAGTCCAATTGCGTTGCTATCTGTTCAACGGTTTGAGTCACATTCCAAAAACTGGTAAGGTACGCACCAGCTCCCGTGTCCCGACGAGGGCACAGAATCTCGAGATTCTCGAAAAAGACTGTTCTAAAATCATAGATGGATGGCATGCCAAGCTTTCTGATCATGCTTTAGAAGTGCAGATTTCGCGGTAAAATTCGCTGTTGTTCGTACCAGGGACTCCGTTGCTGCTAAACCAGCAGTTCCCGGGGTTATGGCGGTTCTTAAGGTGTCCCTGTCCACGCTACGTTCATGACATACCGTTAAGTTCCACAAAGTCGGGGAAGCGTTCCCAGGTCCTCCTTTCGTGGAGGCTGGGTTTCCTATTTCGACACTAGTTGATGTCAGCACCTGGATGCGGGCGCAGGCCGGCTCGACTGTTGCTGTCAGCTCCTGGGCACGGGTATGGGCCAGCCCAGCTGTTGATGTCAGCACCTGGGTGCGGGCGCGGGCTGGCTCTGCTGTTAATGTCAGCACCTGGGTGCGGGTGCGGGCTGGCTCTGCTGTTAATGTCAACACCTGGGTGCGGGTGCGGGCTGGCTCTGCTGTTAGTGTCAGCACCTGGGTGCGGGTGCGGGCCAGCTCAGCTGTTGATGCCTGCTCCTGGGTGCGGTTGCGGGCCAGCTCAGTCGTTGATGTCAGCTGCAGGGTGCGGGCGCGGGCTGGCTCGGCTGTTGGGAGCATCAGTCGGCTTTGAACAGATTTGACATTCCGCCAATGACGACGTGTAGAAATAAACCGATGCGACACTATGGGGCCACGCGGCCAGACAGCTGGCGTGTGCTTTGCGAAGCACTCTGGAACACAGCTAGCCTGGGATGACATCGACTTCAGCCGCCTTCCTTTTTCTCGTAGCAACACCTATCCGGCTCCGTCAGCGCTGTTCATCGCGAGTGTCACCCGTCCGCTGCGGCCTGTGTACGCGCGTCGCCATACCAAGACATGCGTCCCGCAGGTGGAGTGGCTGTTCGACAACAGTCCGCTGCTGCCGGACCAGTTCACCGCCTCCTCCGAGGGCAAGCGCCACGTGCTGCACGTGCGCGTGACCGAGGACGTGCCGAGCGGCCAGGTCAAGTGTGTGGCCGAGAACGACATCGGCAAGGCCACGTGCGCCGCCCGGCTCTCCGTCGGAGGTACGCCGTGACGGGCCGCGACGTGGTGTTGTAGTTCTTGTCTGCCTCGGCCATACCCTCAAGTCCCGTGATAGTCGAGTGCTATCTTCCCTCTCCCTTTTTCTTTTTGCGGTGTCCGTCTACTGAAAGTTCTTAAACTCCTGGTTTGTCGGCTTTATACGTTATGTTGAAGATAATCGGTCGCCATTACTGCAGGAGGTGATGGTGAATGGCGACGTAAGGAGGCAGTCATTAGGACATGTCATGAGAACACGTGAAGCACGCTCACCACATATCTTATCATTAGCGGGTATCGTTGTTTCACTAGTGTCTCATGGTATACTGAAGATCGGTTACCCTTAGCGTAAGAACTCAATTTGCTTTTGCTGGCCGGTTTCTAACACTGTGCCGATGCATCTCCATGGTACTTCCTAGCAGCCTTAAAAGAACGGCGGAGGGACACATTCTATCTCTCAGTTGTGATTATGTCCGCTTTCAGAGCCGCTGGAGCGCACGCCCTCCCCCAGCGAGGGGCGTCGCTCCTCAGATGTAAGCAAGTCCCGCACCTCGACCTTGAAAAAGACCACCATTATGGAAACGCGGGAGGAAACACAGGTAGGCCGGCCAAAGGTTGGGCCGAGCGTCGCCTTCAGAGACGTCAGCAACGACTGAAAGGAGCCCATAATGTGTTCTGAGTGCTTAAGGAATTTGAGAACGAGAGGCTATGTGTCGCCAGCGTTGTATGATATTGTCATATATTTGCTTTGTCTCCATTTTTGTGTAAGCGGATTATGAAAGTATCCCAATAGTCCTTTGCCCCAATTGTGCGTTCCTACGCGCTTTACACTAGGAAGCAGTTCGTTGCATCACACATCCTTGCTTTGCACTAATTTCGCTGCAATAGTCACTGGTCTGGTCTAAGCTCAGGACTTGTGTGTTTGAGTCAATCAAGGTTAAAAGCAATTATCACTGACAGCGAACTAAAAAACTCGCACCACGTGTAAGTGGAGCGTTGACCATTCCTCTTAACAGAATTTTGCATTGGGACACGACGCTCACATAAAGAGAGCAACATATCAAGACAGTATCACATCTCGTCCAGCCATGGTTTATGGGCAGATGCGTTTTGAGCAGACCATCCGTGATACCTAATGGTGTAGCGTGTTAAAACGCTACAGCTGCAGCGGCTGACATGTCAGTGAGAGAGCAGCGACACTTATTTAACTTTAATTCTTCCGCTATGTTTGGCACAATATGAAATCGTTCTCGCAGCCCGGTGACTTTGACAGATACCCCGCCGGCGTGCCAACGCAACGACCTTACCCGAGTGCGGGTTTCATTGATCTTGGCCTTGCAGCCATCAGACCGGAGCCCTGCTGCCCTGACCGCATTTTCGAACTGCTGTGCTCGCCCGTTGCATCCTGTCTCGGGGGTATTTTCACCGTCCTATCAGCCTGATGCGCCCGTGCAGTGCACGCTGTGCCAACTTGCGCCAACACCCGGGGTGCCGGGTGTTCCAGTGTCTGGGGTGCTGGGGTGTTCTGGTTAAGGTGACGGGATGACGGGGACGCCAAACCTCTCGGGTGCCAAGCGTTTGACGTGGTCTTCACACTGTATGCAAACCCAACAACAAAATTACCTTGGAGGCGCCCCGTTCAAAGACGGAGTACCATTGATGGCAGCACTGTTTGACGCTTTCACAGGTCATTAATGGTGATCAGCGGCCTAAGGACGGGGCTGATCGTCGGCGACGCGAGGAGTCCCACTCCAGTGTCGCGGAGGAGCCGGACAGGCAGGTGTGTGCGGCCCAGGTGGTAATGACCTCTAACGCTCTTGTCCGCCGTGGCAAGCCGCCCCTGTACGCCTGTCATCACTCATTTTAACCATACCGATATGATTGTATGATGAACGTAAAAATTTCCGTTCCGATCTGATTTTGTGTCAAGGTCACAGTGGGCATTTTCATCAAGGGTCTGAGTCTCTGAGAGCATCATAAGATCGCGCGACATCTGTCCCACGAGTGTTTTGTTTATTGGGCTCCTCGTCCAGCTGTGTTTTGTGACATTATTTTGCACTTAATCCTCCCAGCGGTGCCAGGCGTTTGGTGCCATATTGTATTTTTCTTGGCACAAAACGGAGCGGGACTGACCTAAGCGTTGTCATCTTGATTGGCTGGTAAGTTAAGAGTGCACAACGAGCCTTCATGCATTGAATTAATCGAGTCCTGTCGGATATCTGAGACATTTTGTGGGGTGAGCTTATTAGTCACTCGCCTGTTTTTTTTTTGTTGTTGTATTTTTAAGGTCAACACGTTGTGAACTTCAAGAGCTGTGAAATACCAAGAACTTCCTCGCCGCGCTGGCACTTTTAACCCGTTCGCCGCATCAGAAGTGGCGTATTTACGAACACCTCTTCTGATCGCGAGCGACAATGCGCGCCGCCCCAGAGCACCGCTCGGTCCAGGGGGCGCCCCGATCTCGGTGCCCGTCACCGGCGGCGGTGCCGGCGCGCCGGCGCCGCCCGGGCGCCGCCCGCCGACGGAAGTTTGTGTTGGCGGCGGGGGCGGTCCAGCGGCGGCCGGGCGCCGGTCTCACTGTGCGCCGCACCGCCAGGTCCAGCGGACCACCTACGAGCAGAGTCGCGAGCGGACCGCCCGCTCGCGGATGGTCCGTGACGAGGACGGGCCGGCCGGCGGCCCGGTCCGGCCGCCCCGCTTCGTGGCGCCGCTTCAGGGGCTCGTCATCCACGAGGACGAGGAGCTGCGCCTGAGTGGGGAATACTCAGGTGAGAGCGGGTGGGGATGGGGGTGCGGCCGTGCGCAGAAGTGGTGTAAACTACTGTGGATGGGGGAATGTCGGTAGGTTGTGGGCGTCACCGGAGCGGACACAGGCTGGATGCGTGACTGAGGCACCGAGGATGTCGGGTTGTTCGTTAGACTGTGGAGTGCCTGGTATTGTTGTGCGGATGGCGAGAAGCTCACAGCCAGTCTGTGCGGACGAGAAAAAACACCGAACGATTCATGCCTTAATGGGGGGTTTAGCGACAGCCCTTGTGTATGTGGTCGGAAGGAGACCGGACGAGACGGCTATTCTCGTTGTTTGGCCCGCGGAGTATACGGTGTGGTTTTGTGTGTACGGTGTCGAATTTGCACAGTTGGTTTATGATATTGGGATAAAACAGTTTTTTGTTTACATGGCGCGATGTGTAGACTCACGGACTGACCGTGGATGAAAGGGTGCACGATATTGTCCCTCTGCCTTTCTGCTCTTCTTGTCTACCCCTTAAGACCTTTTGTTAGCCGTGTTTCCTTCGCGCAGCGTAATATTTTTAGGGTATAGCTCACGTCTCAAGAAAAGGTGTACTTCCAGAATGCCTGTATTGGTTCTATTTATTAGATTCTTACAATTGGTCCCATGTTGTTTCGATGTCCATAATACGCATTGGAAGTGTAAACATATAGCCAAGCAATTTTTCATCCGTCTGGCCTTAAAGTCACGCCGCCCTATCAGTCATTACCGCCAGGTATCAGAGGGTGACTTCGGGCCAGCTGGCTCAGATGCGCATACAGCGTGGAGGATTTGACGATGCCCACAGACGCATTCAACACAAAATCTTGTGGCCTGTTAAACGCCATATAGTAGCCGATTTTGGTTGTGGCAATTGCCTGACATGACATTGAAATGCTTTACGGAACCGAGGCTGCAGAACACTAGCTGCTGCAACAAAAGTGAAGTCCTGTTGGCCCACTGGCCGGCTAGAGTCTCTGGTCTAGCCACATCCATAACCCGAGCGAACCTCCCGATGCCGCGGTAAACTGATCGTCACCTATTACTATTCCTACGCGATGACGTGGTGGCCGTAAGTAAATTTTGCAGGTCAGAATCTTGGCTCTCATCACTGGCGCCGGTTATTGCACTGAACCGGTGCCAAGAGAAAGGGAAACAGTTAGGCGCCTGGTGACGGCGCCATTTGGGCGGTGCTGCCATGCCACGCTCGGTGCGCTCTGTCGCCCGCGGCGAGCGACGACGAGAAATCGCCGCCATCGGTCACACTGGCTCATACCTTCGTCCCAGGCCTGAGAGGCCTTCAGTTCCCTGCCGTATTGCAATGCATTGTGAGATGAGTCATGTTTAGGTGTGTTATGGCACTGCAACGACTGAGCTAAATTCGTTTCGGGTCAGTTATTGGACGGGGATATTGTGCTGTGGCTAAGGATGATACACAGTCAGAAACATACGCATTGCCCCAGAGCCGTCTTTTCACATCTCTTCTCAACGATGTGTTGCCATTTGAAGAATAGGTTCCGATATCGTCGACTTGTCCCTGAAAGATCAACCGTCAACAAACCAGAACCATACGCCCAGACATACACCAAATCAAAGGCGCTCTTGCTGCCGCGCCGCATCGTCTGTTTGTCTTGGAAGCATTCTGACCCGCTCCTCCCCACAGGTAACCCCCAGATCACGTGGTTCAAGAACGGTGTGGAGCTGACCCCCAACGACCGCGCCGTGACGTCACACGATGACACGCACGTGACCCTGACCCTGGAGCGGGCGACCGAGGACGACGCCGGTAAATACACCTGCTGCCTGAAGAATGCGGCCGGCACGTCCAAGAGTACCGCCGAAGTGCTCGTTAGAAGTGAGTATTGTTCGGAAAGGCGTGTGGAAAGCAAAACACTTCTAACAGTTTGAGGGTCGTGGTTAGGCTGCGTTCGGTCCGTGGGTCCGCCGCATTGCTTTACTATGTAGCTGATCATACCCGTATGGCTATACTCAGCGATTTCGACGACAGCTGATATGCCTCCAGAGCTATGGAGGAAAAGTTCACGAGCGAAATGCGCAGTTATTTAGCATAAAGATGGGAGACACGTGTTGAAGTAGTGTAAGGCCGGTGAGTGTAAATATTTTCCATCTCTTAAGATGACTGAGCAAGGAAAACAGTAATTGTTTCACGCCCGACTCAGATGGTTTTGCCATTGAATGGCTTCTTCCTGAGAAGCTATGAGTTCACTCATTGCATTCTGTGACCGTCCCCATCGTCACCAATGGCCTTCTTTGCGCAGAAATCTTGGCAGCGCCTGTGTTCGACCACCGGCTGAAGGCGCAGGTGGCCCAGCCGGGTCAAGAGGTCGTCATGAAGGTCCAGGTGAGCGGCATCCCGCCGCCCAACGTCACCTGGACCAAGGACGGACGACCAATCACCGACGAGCATATCAAGATCAAGCGGCGCGAGAGCAAGCACTCGCTTACCATTCGCAACGGTCAGTAAAGCTTGCGTCTGTGTCTCGCGTTCTTCCGCACATGGCAGGGTCATGGTACCGGGTCTGTGGCCGACCTCCGTGAATGATTTTTTGCTGTTGCTGTAAGCGTTTAGACGTTTGTTCTTTCATTGGGACTGCTTGACTCGGGTTTGATGCTGAACGTATATGATAGCATTTCAGTTTCAACCATTGTGTTTCCACTAGCATAATCAGCAGTAATAACCAGCAGTAGCTTAATCCCATTTATGTATTGCATAATAGTTTCCGTCAACATACGCTACCACATGCCCATGGTTGCGCCCGCACCCACACCCCTAAAACGCATGCATCTACATCAAAATACCCTTCACATCGTTGCTACGCAGCCCTTCCGTCCCCTGATGCCTATCAATGACGCATTGCACAGCGATTCAACTGAACCAAGACAATTTAGCGCGTTGCCGCCGTCCGGTTGGCTCGTGTCGCTTCGTCGGTCGTTCGTCATGCCAGTGGTACCCGTTTGCTGTCCGCCTCCCGCGACATTGCGCATGGCACCCGCGCCTGGTCGTAGCCCGTGAACAGGTACTTAGACGGTCGACTCTTGAGGCTGGCGCCGGGCGTCGTGGTGCGATACAGGCCACAGCCGCAGTCGACTGGCGGGAGGTACGTGTCCGGCGCCGGCACGCTCTCCTTCTCCTTGTAAGTCATGTCACGGTGCCGCTCGTGCAGCGAGTACTGGGGCGCGCGCGGCAGCGGCCGCGCCGGCAGGTACTTGTTGGGCGCCGGCGCCTTGGGCCGCTTGAAGTCGGGCGGCTTGATCCTCAGCGTGAAGCCGTTGTTGGTGCCGGGGGCGGCGTGCGGCGAGTAGGCGTTCGGCGCCGGGAAGTCGTCGGGCGTGCTGTGCGGCCGGCGCGTCAGCTTGAAGGCCGGCCGCTGGCGTGGCTCGCTGCGCGTGTTGTACGAGGCCGGACCGCGGCCGAACGACGGCCGCTCGCTGTACGGGTGGGCGGCCGGTACCGGCAGCCGGATGCTAAAGGCGGGCGCGCGCCGCTTGGGCGGCTGCTCGGGCGAGTACGCGCCCGGCCCGGGCGTCTGGAAGGCCGGCGCGCTCTCGAACGGCCGGAATGTGAATTCGGGGGCGCGGCACGGCCGCTTGGGCACCTTGTAGGCGTTGGGCGCCGGCACGGGCGAGGCGCGCCGCGGTGGCAGCAGCTCGCCCATCTTGGGCGCGTGTACGGCGGGCAGCACGTCGCGCACGAAGTACCAGTCGGGTGGCGGGTTGTCCATGAAGACAGTGAGCTGGCGTGGCCGGTGACGCACGCTGAAATGCGGCCCCGAGAGCGGGCGGCGCAGGTTGCGCCGGCCCGGCCCCGGCCCGAGCGTGCGGTCGTCGTGCCGCGGCCGCTCGGTCAGTAGGAAGCGCGGCGCGCGCGGCAGGTGCGCCGTGACCGGCGCGTACACGGGCGCCGGCGTCTCCGTGTAGGAGGTCCTGTCGATTGGGCACGGGTGGCCGGTGGTGGCGGACGGCGAGTGCCGGCCCTTGAGCGTCGTGCGGCCCGGCCGTGTGTCGACGTCGCCTTGGCGCACCTGGTGTGCGGGTCCCGGCGAGCAGCTGTAGTCTGGCGGCTCGATGCGCGGCTTCAGCGTCGGCAGCAGCGGCCGCTTGCAGGCCGGCAGCTTCACGGTGTAGGAGGCCGGACCGGGCCGCTTTTCCGCCACGCCCGCTGGGTCGGGATACTTACTGCGGATCGTGTAGTCGGGCGCCATCGGCTTGTGCACCGTCATGTCGGGCAGCTGGTAGTCGGCTGGGCCGGGGAAGGGCACGGCTAGCGCGGTGAGAGGCTTGCCGCCAGGCGGCGGGATGTACTCGCCTAGCGCCGTCCGCCGAGGGGACGTCCCCGGCGACGGCGGGCCGCCACTCTGGAGTCGCGTCATCACGACTGTGGCGGCTGCTATGCCAGTCTCTACGACAGCTCCCGAGAGTGTCCCATGATGTTTCTAAGTGATGCACACGCACGCTGTTCGCTAAGGCATGCCTGTAGCACCAAGACGCTATATATGTCGAACCGAACCGTACACAAGCGAAGAGCAGATGCGTTGGATGCATCATGTAGTGGTTGTAAATAATTTCAGTTTCGCGTGATAAAGCGAATGGTGAGCGCTTCTGATAAAGTGGTTTTGTAGAAGTAGTCTCATCTGTGGCTTGTCGTATTGCACTTGCGTTTTGTACTGAATTTTGCGTAGCCAGAGCAGGACACCGTGTTTTTAGAGACATATGGATGTTTAAAACACGGATATGGTGCCATCAGTTGGTTTCAGCTAATTATAATTTGCAAAATAACGTAGCACAGCACGGTCGATCCATATTGTGTTGTGGTTGCCACAGTGCCGTTAGATCATTAAGCGTAAAGAGGCTAGGAAAAGGAGGATAATCGCCACTTAAAACCATGGAAGTAAACCGAACGCCAATGGATGCGTTCATCAATGCACTATTCCTTTTGCAACTCGCTATGCATCCGAGAAAACAGGCGGTACCTTGGCGTTTCCGTGGGCCGAAAGAAAGGTAGGATCTTGGCACATTATCCCGTTTTGGTGTTTTGCCTATGGCGGTGCGTTGTTTCCTCACACGATGTATGTTGTATCTGCAGTGACGCACGAAGACGCCGGCAAGTATGCAGTCTGCGCCAAAAACGACGCCGGAGAATCGACGTCCATCGCCGACTTCGTCGTCACCGACGAGATGCCCGACATCATCGAGAAACGATTCATTACCACGGAGTCGGCGGACGGCCAGGTACAAACAGCGATGTGTGCTGTCCATAGAGTAAGCGATGCAATCATACAGCAGCTTATACTTCGTATAGTCACGTTGCGTGTCTTCTATTATGATCCATTTCGGCACGGGTTCTGTAAGGTGGATGTTTGCCGGTGATTTTTGCCTCCCTTACGAGTGTTATTTGCATTAAGTTTTTGCAATATGGTTATGGCTGTCATGCGATGTGAATCAATTTCACTGAGGGAGTTGTTAATTGGTATTATCGTAACGAAGGTCACAATTGTACGCTGTATGCTCTATAGCCTGGTGCGGGAGTTGGAAAGGAGACGACGATAGTTACAAGAACACAGTCGTCTACCCGCACCTCGGACGCAGACGAGTCTCCTAAATCCCCCTCCACGACTGTTAAGTCCCATTCCTCACACAAGCGCAAGAAGAAGGACAAAGACGGAAAGAAAAAGTCAAAGACGAAGATATCGAAGACTCTCCAAGAGGAAACAAGTGAGACTGTAACTACTCGTGCGGGTCAGGAAGAGCCATTTGAAAAACCACGGCCACAGAGTGAGGTTGAACCGGAGGAGACTGGAGACACGTCTCCGTCGTCGATCCGCAAGCATAACAAAAAGTCAAAGAAGGTTGTCAAGGAGGAGACCACTGAAGTCGTCAGGGATATTAAACCTGAGTATGAGGAAGACGGTGGTGAGCCCGGTGACGAAGAGGAAGAGGACGAGGCTACATACAAGCCTTCTTCGTCCAAGTCCAAACGAGAAACGAGGTCACGAGAAGTCGTACAGACCACGAAAGAGGAGAAGATGACCACTCATCTCGAGTCAGTTGACCTCCCATCCGAAGACAAGCATGAAAAGCCCGTGGAGCAGGACATTCTACCTGCAACCAAACCACAGCCTTCAAAAACAGGTCAAATTAAGGAAGAGACGTTGCAAAAAGTTTTAGAAATCATGAACACTCAGGAGCGAGATCAGAGTGATATCACTGATACTAAACCGCAGTCGCTGAGCAAAGATGCCGAGGCCCCCGAGGTTGAAAAAGTACATGAACCAGTATCGAAAACAATAGTTAAAAGAACGCCGGTCATGCCTGAACTGAGTGCCTCGGAAGAGGAAGAGGAGGGCGATAAAGACGATCTGGGGTTGGGCTCGCAACCAGCCGCTGAAGGGACATCGGATATTGAAACTGTTTCTGGCTCTGAGCATATTCTGGAGACTGCGGCTGCGAACGACAGGGTATCTGATGAACCAGTTCAAGAGCCTAAGGTCACAGATGTTGCTGGGGATAATGAACGGGCAGCGGGGATAAGTACTGTGCCAATCAAATCGGCCAGGCCTGCCTCAGATTCAGAAGGTGGAGAAGAAGAGGAAGAAGCATTAACGACAGAAACGGCTAACAAAGTCGAGACTTCGCAAGAATTTGCACAAGAACCTGGCTTGGCCGACGAAACACCAAAGGAGGAACAGGTAAAATTTACTCTAGTCGGTAATACATTAGTATTTACCACCATCAGGCCGGAAGAGCCAGAACAGCCTGTTCCAGAACTGGATACGTCTGCGGAGCTCGTCTTAAAGAACCCCGAACCACTGGGTGAAGAGTCGATCGATGAACCGAAGACCGCTGAGGAGGAAGTGAGGGAGGAAGCGGCAGAGTTTACCGCCGTTATTCGCCCTCCAGTTGCCACTAACGAGCCAGAATCGATCGCTGATGATGCTAAACCAGCTGCAGAGCCGGAGCACGAAGCGGCGCCGCTTGAGAGGCCCTCTGTTTCAAAGTCAGAATTGCCTGGAGAATCGTCTCCGGAACGTGAGCTGGGTGATGAAGAAGTGGAGTCGGACTCGAGTAAAGATAAGCTGCTAGAAGAAACTGATCACATGCAACAGTCGTCTGAAGACACGCTGACCCCTGAGCGACCACTGATCCCTGAGGTACCGAAGATCGAGGAGTCCGAAGAAGTCGAGTCTGAAGAAGAGCATGAAGACGAAGGGGAATCAGTCTCCGGTGAATCTGATGCTGCCGGGGAGGCTCGAGTTGGGCTAGACAGCGAACAAAAGCGGCCTACCGTCGATGTACCGAAGACCGAAGAGTCTGACAGACCTGAGTCTGAAGAAGAACCAGAAGACGAAGGTAAATCAGTCTCCGGTGAATCTGATGCAGTGGAAGACGCTCGTGGTGGGTTGGAAACTGAACGAGAGCGGCCCATCGCTAAGGCGTCGAAGATCGAAGAGTCTGAAACAGTCGAGCCTAAAGAAGAGCCTGAAGATGAGAAGAAATCAGTCTCCGGTGAGTCTGATACGGTCGAGGATGCTCGCAGCGGGCTAGAAAGCGAAGAGGAGCGGCCTGCCACCGATGTACCGAAGGTTGAAAGGTCTGACAGAGTTGATTCTGAAGAAGAGCCTAAAGATGAGGAGAAATCAGTCTCTGGTGCGTCTGACGCAGTCGAAGACGCTCGTCGAGGTGGAGAAGAAACTGAACAAGAACGGCCCACCGCTAAGGTGCTTAAGATCGAAGAGTCTGAAAGAGTCGAGTCAGAAGAAGAACCGGAACACGAGAAGAAATCAGTCTCCGGTGAATCTGATGGGGTCGAGGATGTTCGGGGTGGGTTAGAAAGTAGCCAAGAGCGGCCTATCGCCGAGAATGTTGCGGCAGATTTGTCAGAGCAGACAGTGGACGTCCAAGATGACAAAACAGAAGAAGATAAACCATCAGAACCGGAGGAGAACGGTGATTCTGGCTCCGAGAAACCTGCTGCTGCTGAAGAGTCTGAGTCGGGCGATGAGAACGAAAAATCTGAAGCCGAACTGGAACACGTAGAACGGCAGTCTTATGAACAGGTAGAAGGGGAATCGGCACAGCTAGAAAAGGACGCTGCTGCTAAGCCCTCAACACCGCTATCGGATGTAGAAGACGAACCGAAACCTGTGGGAGATGACGACTTACAGAGTGAGGCAAGTGGGAAAGGTGAATATTCTGAAGAAACGGCCTCCGAGTCAGAGATCAAGGAAGTTGATGTGGACGAGACAGCCACTGTTCAAAAATTAACACAGGGTCACGCCGATGATACAGAAGCATCCCAAGAGATCATAATTGCAGAGAATCGTATTGTCGAGGAGGCTAAGGAAATAAAGATAACGGATGAAATGCACGAAGTACACGATGATGATGCGGAGAAAGACAGGCCTGCAGTGACGGATGACAGTGTTCAGGAATCTGTGAAGGAATCTGCGCAGGATGTGCTTGAAACCAGCGGGGAATCAGATGCCCAAGTACTCGATTTAGAACGTATCCCAACTGGTTTAGGTTCAGAGGCTGAAGAGGAACTTATACCCAAAGAAACGGCGAAGCTGAAGCCTAAACCAAGTGACGATGCGTTAACGAAAGATATTCATGAACCCTCGGAAACCGCTGAGACGCTGACTCGGGCGGAGATGACGACCTATGGCGGCGAAGCAGTCAAATCTGATGACTTGGAACAGGCACCGAAACAAGAAGCCCCAAAACTCTCCGAGGACATTTCTCAGTCTCCCGCCTCGGCAGCTCCACCTGCACAAACCTTCCTGCCGGAGCCTGTGCTGCCGGCTTCGGATAGTCCCGCTCAGGAGCCGCCGAGCGAGGCACCGCACGCGCCTGTGTTCGCCGCCGTCTACAGAGCGGCCGAAGGAGACGCGTACCAGGCCAGCGACACGCCGCCGTGGACGCAGCCGGCGCCGGCCGAACTGTTGATCCACGCGCCCACCGAGCCCCTGCTGTACCAGTTCGTGCGGCCACCGGGCACGCCTCCCAAGCCGCCTCCGAAGCCCGCCGTCCGGCCGCCAGTGTACAGCGGTCCGCCGGGGCCGACGCCGGTGGTGCGGCCGCCCCCGGGTTTCCCACCGCAGCCGCCCCACCAGGTCCGCGGTGCATCCCCGCACGCCGGCTTCCGCGTGCCCGTCGTCGCACCGTACGCCGAGCAACTGCAGCGGCAGGCGCAGACCTTGTACGGGCAAGAGACGGTGAGCAGCGCTCCGACGCAGTCGTACATCTCTCCGAACTCGCAGCCGTACGCCCCTCCAGTGCAGCCGTATGCCGCTCCGGCGCAGCCGTACGCTGCTCCGGCGCAGCCATACGCCCCTCCAACGCCGCCGTACGCCGCTCCAGCGCAGCCGTACGCCCCTCCAACGCAGCCGTACGCCCCTCCGGCGCAGCCGTACGCCCCTCCAGCGCAGCCGTACGTCTCTCCGGCGCAGCCCTACGCCGCTCCAGCACAGTCGTACGCCCCTCCAGCGCAGCCCTATGCCGCTCCAGCACAGCCGTACGCCCCTCCAGCACAGCCCTACGCCCCTCCGGCGCAGCTGTACGCCGCTCCAGCGCAGCCGTTCGCCACTCCAGCGCAGCCATCCGCCGCCCCGGCGCAGCCACAGGCCGCTCGGACGCTGGCGGCGCCACATTATGGCAGTGCGCCCACTCCGGCAGCGCCCCGGTTTGACAGGAGGCCCGTCCCGGTGCCGTCCACCCCGCGGTACGCCAGCGCGCCAGTGGCATCTCCGAGAGCACCTGAGCATGCCAGGATACCCGGCCCGGCCCAGCAAGGACCGCGGTATGCCAGGGTGCCCTCGCCAGTGCCCAGGACACAAGCACCACGCTTTGTTAAGGCACCTGCCCCGGCTCCGCCGGTGCCGCGGTATGCTAAAGCGCCTGCGCCGGCTCCACAAGCGCCGCGGTATGGCGGTGTGCCTGCGCCGGCTCCACAAGCGTCGCGGTATGGCGCCGGTGTGCCTGCGCCGGTCCCGACGGTGCCTCGGTATGCCAGGATGCCATCCCCGGCTCCGACATCGCCTCAGCATGTCGGTGGCTCGTCTCAGGAGACGCAGTTTTCGCAGTCCACGGTGGGCACGTCATGGACAACAGACAACATCGAAAGCTATTCCTCCGAGGACGTGTATGGGGACGAGGACGTCACCCGCGCTCCTCGGCGAGTGGTCATAACGTACGTGGCGCGCACGGGGCTGCCACACCATCAGCAGTACCCTCAGATAACCGAGGATTACAGCTCGAAGTGGTCCTCGCAGATGACAGACTCTCGCACGGAAACTACCATCAGCGAGCAGCGCCAGGTAGACGCCGGATGGCGGGACGAGCAACTCTCGTTTGTGCCGAAGCCGCCACCGCCGCGGAGATCGGTGAGCTCGGTCGGCGAGATGCGCAGGAAGATCGAGGCCCAATCGGAGACGAGCGAACGGACGACAGACCTTCGCCGGGCGGCGCGGCCTGCTCCGGCCCCGAAGCAGGCACCGCCACCCCGCCGCTCGCAGCCGACGTACGTGTCCGGTCAGCAGCGGCTCGATCAGCGCTCCCGCAGCCAGGAGGTGCAGGTGGTGCCACCCGCGCTTCCCCCGGAGCCGACGCAGCGGGCGCCGCCCCGCGTCTCGCGCCGCACGCCCACGCCCACCAAGTTTGTGCCCGGCCGCTTCTCCGGGTCTGACTACGAGAGTGACTATGACGAGCGCATACCGACGCGCTGGCAGGCTGACGGGTACGAGTACATCGACCGGCGGCGCATCCTAGTGCAGCTACCGGATGCGCGCCGCGGTCACGAGCGGCGCGAGCGGGCCGCCACGCCGCCGTCGCAGTTCGACCGGCCGGCGCCGGTGCGCGAGACGCCGCCGCACCGACCGCCGGTGGTCGGTCTGCCTGCGAGCGAGCGGCGCGGGAGGTCAGAGGCGAGGAGCTCGCTGGCCATGTCGAAGCGGTCGGCCTCGGCGCCGGCGTCGCGGTTCCGCGCAGTGGCGCCGGCGGCGCCGAGACGCGCCGCAACGCCGCGCCGGGCCTCACCGGAGCCGCGACCGAGGGACGCCTCCTGGCAGCGGCGGCAGGAGGTCTCGCGGACGACATCGCAGTCGCGGCAGGACGGCGGCCAGACGCGTGTCTGGTCAGCCCCGCAGCAGCCGAGAACGCTGACGCCGGCTGTGCCGCCCAAGGCCGCGCCCGTGCCTCCGCAACCGCCGGCCACGAACGAAATTGCGCAGACCGCCAGCGAGATCTCGCGGAGCCTGCGCAGGATGACCGACCAAAGCAGCTTCAAGCAGACGTCACAATCTTATCCGGCGCAGCCTCGCCCGTCGCCGATCAAGACGCAGCCGGTGCGAGCGCCTCGGGTGAAGCCCGCGCAGGCCGGCTTCAGAAGCACCGAGAGCTTCTCGAAGACATCTGAGCGGAGCGGGTACCAGCAGTCCAAGGCCGCCCCGCGGCCTCCCGCTCTGGCGTCCAAGCCTTCGATGCCGGTGTCACCCGTGCGGAGTGAGCAGTCGCAGCAGGACTCCAGCCAGCAGTCGATGTTCAACAGGCACCAGACGCACGAGTCGCTGGATCGCCCCGGCGTGCGGGGCTTCCAGGCGACCTCCGAGTCGGACGCGCAGCACTTCAACCGCGAGGAGACCGAGGGCTTCACCAAGACCGAGACGCGTTTTGAAAAGACGTATGACGTGCGGATGGAGAAGACGGAGGTGAAGGACGCGAACGGACACTCGCTGGCGCTGCCGGTTCCTGCGCTGCCGTCCAGCGCCTCCCCGCTGCCGGTTGTGATGTCACCGGTATCTGATACAGCGTCTCAGAGCCGGCAGTCGATGACGCAGCAGTGGCTGCAGTCGCAGAGCGGACGGCCGGCTGGCTCGCCGCTGCTGCCGCCGCCTTCTCCGCAGCCTGTCGTGACGTCACCCGTTCCGAGGGTGACGTCACCGGTACCGGGCTTCCAGCGGGCATGGCAGCAGCGGACGAGCGTGGACCGCAGTCGCTCCGGCTCGGCCGCCGGCCGCCGCAGCCCGCTGCTCGGCCATGACGCGTCCGGCTACGCCTCCGACCACACCGGCTACGCGTCTGAGCCGGAGCTGGCGGCGCTGGCCGCGCGGCGGCCGTGGCGGCCGGGGCCGCAGCCGCCGCCGCGGGCCGCCGTCGCGCAGGGCCGTGGCGCTAGCCAGGCGTCGCAGTCGTCGCGGGCGTACGTCGGTGGGAGTGTACGGTCGGCGCAGCCTCCGCGGGCGCCGCCGAAGCTCGGTAGGGCCGTGTCAGACCTCGGCAGCGACTACGAGTCACGCTTCACTACCAGGTGGATGCCGGCGGGCGCTGGTCGCTCGGCGGGCAGCCCCTTCCGCCCGGTGCAGCCGCCGGCGCCGAGCGGCGGCGGCGGCGGTGGCGGTGACCGCCCGCTGGCTATCCCCGAGCTGAAAAACGACTGGTCCTCGTTGCTGTCCGGCTCGCAGTCGGCGCTGTCCGAGTCGCAGCGGTTGGCGTCGGAGGGCGACACCACCACAACCACCACCACGATGGTGAAGGAGGAGTTCCACAGCGAGAAGATGATACGCGAGGAGACGACGACACTCGGCCCGTTGCCACCTGGGGTGGTGTCGGTAGCACCGCTCAAGTCGCCGCTGCCGGCGCGTGCGATCCAGCCTCGGTCGCCGCTCCTGCTGAGAGCGATCCCGCGCCCGGCTGGTATGCCGCTGTGCCAGGCGTCCTCAGAGCAGAGCAGTGTGTCGTCGGACATGGAGGAGGAGGTCGTCTCCCGGCGAGGGCTCGGAGATGCTGTGGTGAAGCCCGACAGGCCCGTCCCCGCCTCGCCCTGTCCTGTCCCCGCGGCGGCCGACTCGTCTGCGCAGGTGGCGCCACCGGCGACTGGGTCGCACGGCGGCGTGTTGTCTCACCTTGCTAGGTAGCCGGTCCTCCGCGTGCTGCTAATGCGTGTGGTGATGTGGCGTGGCCCTGACTGACGCTTTGCGACGTCTGTCACCGCAGTAAACTGTGGCTAGCTAGACGGACTGCATGACTGCCCCTAACAACTGAGCTAGGTGATGCCTAAACAATCTGAGTTACCTAAACGATGCGAGTGCTCACGCTTAAATGATTTGAGTCAGCTGGGTTTGGTTTACCTGAACGAAGCAATTTTATTGCTCATTTATATTGATACTTCTTGGCCGCCCACTGTTTTCCATTACCCTATTTTGTAGTACTAGATTGTCCTGTAAAGGAATGCGTTAGAAACGCATAGCAAGCCAGCAACATCCCTTAATGTTTGTCACGGTCCTGTTGCGAATTACAAGTGGCGTGAATTTTTCTATGTCGTTGATTAGCCATGCTTTCAGCCGAACTTTACGCGTCTTTAAAACCTAAACACTCTGGTGTCGCAGTGTTCCAAAAGCAGGTACTCTGGGCGCCAATGGGAAGTTCCTTGAATGTTGCCGTTATGTTAGTTGAAAATAATATCTTCACACAATTACTTATCGCAATGAACACAGCATTTCAAATGTTCTTAACGGTTGCAGTGCAACGGACGGCATATAACACCACAGTTGATGTGCTTAAAAGCCCATACATGGAGCATTTGTGGAAGGGTCAGCTACCTTCATGTTGATGCAAATCTTGTTTTTCAAAGAAAGCCTGTGTCGTGAAGCCGGACGATCAGCCGGTGTGGTCGTTAGGCTGGTGGATCCGGAAGCTGTTGCGAATTTGATTATCCAATACCGTGATTCGTCACTGCTTCCAGGTGGCTCAAAGACCAGACGCTTGGTCTGACGAAGAAGTGTTAAAGACGTCCGTATCGTCGCTGTCGTGGGAGCGCTCCGGCTCGGCGTCGCGCCGGCCCACCGCCGCGCCCTCCGACAACCGGCCGGCAGAGCCGCCTGGCGGCCAGATCCGGCACCAGGCCGCGCTGCCGGCCGACCGGGCGCCGCGGCGGCCCGGCTCGCCGCCCGACACTGCCGCCGGCCGCACGCGCTCCCCGTCCCCCGCCGGCCCGCTGGCGCGATTGGACGACGCGTCGACGACGACGCGACGCTTCGAGAGTTCGCAGCGCAGTGCGACGAGTGTGACGCGCGTGCAGGAGTCGACCCAGGTCAGCCGCCAGATGGTGTCGCAGGAGGTGCGCCGTGAGTTCCGCCTGACCGACATCCTCGGCCTGGGTGGCCTGGCCGGCGGCGGCGTCGAGCGAGACTCGCCCCAGCGAGCTCTCCACGCTCCGCCGGCGCCACGTGAGTCGCGGTCCCGCTCTCCGGAGCTGTCACCGGCGCCGGCTGACGACCAGCAGCCGCCCGGGGAGCGCCAGTTCACGGCGCAGCTGGTGGTCAAGCTGAGCGAGGACGGTGCGGCGCCGGCTGACGCGGCGCGGCGCGGCTCGCCGGCGCGCTCGTCCACGGAGCGGCCGAGCGGCGGCCGGCTGACGCCTAGCCGCATCCCGCGTCTCTCCGAGGAGCGCAGCGTCGAGAGGAGCGTCCGGCGCGAGACAGTGCGGACTGTGACCCGCTCCGGCAGTGGCGTCGGCCAACAGAAGCCGGACGGGGCGCCACACAGCAAGGTGGGTCGGTGACGTACCTGCTTTTTTGTTCGGTGGTCAGGTGGTCCGTTTAATGTGGCCAGTTGTATTGCCCTGTGAAGGTCGCTGTAGACGCTCATCGATCTTCTACGCGATTATTTCGTCTCATCACGAAAAGGGCCGAGGTAATCTTTCATGAAAATGAACGTAATTGGATTGAAAAGCATGGCGTGTGGTGAACGTCTCATATTTGTGCATACGTTTTTGTGTGAAGTCTTGCAACCGTTAGACGTGCATGCATAGAGCTTCAGTGTTAGCTTCCTTCACTTTACACCGCGTGTACAGTGCCCCGTCAGCAACTGACACGTGCTCCGTTGCGTTCGTGCAGAGCCGGTCGCCGTCGCCGCCAGCTGTACTGCGGGATGACATGACGTGGCCGACCAGGAGAGTTGGGTCCCTCCACACCACACAGAACACCACCACAGGTCAGGATGTAACCCACCAGACACGCCGGGTCCCTCCACACCACACAGAACACCACCACAGGTCAGGATGTAACCCACCAGACACGCCGGGTCCCTCCACACCACACAGACCACCACCACAGGTCAGGATGTAACCCACCAGACACGCCGGGCCCCTCCACACCACGCAGACCACCACCACAGGTCAGGATGTGACCCACCAGACATCAGACATGCACACTAAGCGTACATCAGACATACACGTACGGGTGACGCCACCGTCTTCTGTCTGGGTTCGAGTGAGTGTCCCAGTGACGTACTGGGCATTCCGACGCGCAAGGCGTTAGGCTTCATGTCAGTCGTGTAGATATGTTGTCGCATATGCCGCTTGAAACGGAATTCACTGGCCGTCGCTTTCGTGCCAAGCTGTCAGGAGTGTGGGAGGCTCAAAGTCTGCCATCAGAAGCCTGACTTGGTCATTAAAAAATGCTCTTTTGTGGATTATTTGGCTGGACTCCCTGCCCACCGCTGCCCGAAGACACAGGCTGATGGAAACATTTACTTAGCTTTACACACCTGCGGCGAAATATTTGTTTGGTAGAATACGCCACCTAATTGTTTTTCATAAATCGCATGAGAGGACATCACACCTCGCTGCGATCCAGAAAGGGTATTAAGAAGCTGCAATCTCGCAAATACTGCTGCACTTTAGGGTTGGGCATGGCGATAGCTCCGTGGCCGCCAGCCGTATATTAGACTTGCGGGCACGCATGCAGTAAGGATGTCAGAATGTTGAAATGCTGATTTGTGAGTCGCGTGGAGGTTTAGGTCAACGCCATACTTGAATTATGGTGCGTTGTTTGTCGTGTCAACATGATACGTATACTGTTAAAACTGTTCGCAATGTGAATCTGATACATAACCTGATACGTACACCACCTGAAGGTCATTTAAATTTATCAGCGTTATGTGTTAGCCATCCATTTTTGCTGATCAGTGTGACTGTTTTTGTGACGTGTTATGTGATTGCTTGTGCATGCATTGGCATTTGTGCCGGTATGACTTCCAAAGGTGGCACTCTCCCCTTAAGCTTGCTTTCAACTGTCGATTCTAAATCGAGCCTCGAGCTATAACCGCCTGTGTGGACCATGCCACCCGCTCGCGCCAAAAGAGGGGCCCTAAGACGGTAGGCGTAAAGCTCTAACACCATCGTGACCCGAGCCTGTTCGGCAGCCGTGCGCTCGCGCCGCTCGGTGGACTCTCCCGACCTGCGAGGCCACTCGCCGGTGGAGCGTGGCCGGTCCGTGGAGTCGTCGGACGCGTACGGCCGGTCGTCGTCGGACCGGGGCCGCTCGGTGGACAGCAGCGAGCGGGACGAGGCCGTCGACAGCTCGGACGGTGGCCCCCTGCATCGCGCCAACGGCCAGCCGCTCGCCGGCAAGGAGAAGCGACTGCGCAACTACGGTCAGAACCGACCGCTGGATGGAGCTGGGCCATGCCGAATCCGATGATAGCGGTTTTAAAAGCGTCAGTAGTGCCATGGAAGTGGTGCTCGCACGAACACGATACTTTTGCTACTAGTGCGTGTTTTGCTGTTATAACCATCCTGTTGCCTGATTTTGCAAACCTGCTAGTTTTCCGCGCCCACCCTTACCTGCTGTTTCTGCATCCTGCCATCCCATCTCACGTTAATGCCCCGAGCTGCCCCTCCCCATCGCGTGGCCCGTACCCGTCTGGTATTTTGGTGGCCGTTTGCCAGCCATGGCCCCCGTGTTGTCTTTGATACCGATCCGGCGGCGGGGCTGCGGGGTCGGTCACTGCGCATTTGAGCGCGCCGCGGCTAATTTTAGTGCTCGTCGGCAGCCAGAGGAGCTGAATTGCGTCCCCGAAGAGCCTGTTGACAAATATTGGACGGCTTGCCCGGCTGGTTGCGTCATTCTGCCCCCGGCTATTCTGGCCCTATTGTTAGTCTTTGGTCGGGCACGTGATCGAGCTGAGGTGTGGGAGCAGCTGTGAGAGCCTCACATTGACATACTCTGAGTCTCAATCGGGATTCCGAATGGAAAATAAGCGGCCGGTTTTTTACACCATTAAATTTCCTTCTTCGGTCTAAGAAAGGCATGGGATAGACGGATGGCTGGGGCTCCTGTGTGCATATCAAGGCTGTGAAATCGGGTATTATCCGGTAATCTGGCATATCCGGTAATCTGGTATTTTCCGGTGTCTGAGCATGACTAATCGCACGCTTTTGTATATTCATTGCTTCTCAGTTGCAGGGGCATGTTTCACGAAGGTTCGTGGTTTTACCTCGTCTGGAGCCTATTACCTTGTTGTCATGAGCTTCACATCAGTGAGCACATCTCTGCTTTCTGGCACTGATCTCACTGGTGCTGGTTTGCCCCGTTGACCTGGCATTGCCCACTGCTGACCTGGTACTGCCCACCGCTGACCTGGCACTGCCCGCTGCTGACCTGGTGTGTCCATTGCTGACCCGGCACTGCCCGCTGCTGACGTCACGCCGCCCCTGCGCCGCAGCCCACCCGGCGCTGCTGCGTCCTCCGGTGCTGCTGAAGCCGCTCTCGGACCTGTACGTGCAGCAGGGCCAGGGTCTGCAGCTGCGGCTGATCGTGGACGCGCTGCCGCAGCCGACCGTCAACTGGTACCGCGACGGCCGGCACCTGGCCGACCTGCCCGACGCGCGGTACCGGGCGGCCGCCGACAACGGCGTCTGCACGCTGGACATGCGGCAGGTCCACCCCGGTACGCGCTGAGCTGGACACGGCCGGGTGCGGTGCCAGCTGGGTATTGGGAGCTGGTGGCTGAACACGGATGGGGAACGTGACTCATTTGATGCCAGACGGACCGCTATGGATGCGTGAGGAGAGGTCTGAATATGGCGGCGTATTCTCTGTCGTGACGTCCTCGGGAATGTACTGATCGTGCAGTGCCTGAGAGCGGCATGTCACGTGGTCACGGACGGGATTTTTGTGAGCAAGTCCTGGAATGTCCTCTGTGGGAGATTGGAGCATATTCGCTGTTGGCCTTCAGACAATTGCGAGAGGCCATCACGCGGGCTGTTGAAATCCAGATTCACGCTGTCAAAGCAATTGAAGTAGCTCACGCGCACAAATTTTCCAGCAGAATTGCCCTTTCTATGGCAACAGTGTGTTGGACATACCCAGCTTGGCTTACTTCTCGTCCACCCATTGCCGCCGCTCATATTTCAAACATGACTTACAATCATACTGCGAGAGACGGCATGCATCTTATATGCATGACGTGCATAGCATACTCTGGATCCAAGCGCTACTCAGTGTGCCCTTCAGAGCAATACCATGTTAGACGGCCCAGTGACGCCGGTGTGGCGCGCTGCCGTGCTTGCAGAGGACGCTGGCCTGTACCGGTGCGTCGCCACGAACCACCTGGGGACCGTCTCGACCGAGGCGCTGGTGTGCGTGGCAGGTGAGAACTGACGGCGCGCTCTCCCTCTCTCTGGCCTGCACCCCTCTGTCTCTCCGGGCGGCTCGGTCGGTGGTGTCTGCGACGGCGAGGGCCGGCGTCGTCGTCGGGCGCGAACGTCAAGCTCCGCGCGCCGGCGTGCCGTCGGCGGCGCGAGTTGGAGTCTGCTGCGTCGGGTGCACGCTCGTCGGGGTGGGCGCGGCGGGTGGCGTCGGGCGATGTGCATGGTGAGACGTCCTGTTGGAGACGCGCGCGGCGGCGCAGAGCGCGGGGCGCCTCTGTCGGAACACTTGGCTTGCGGCTTAGACTCTTAGACGGCTTCTAGTCACGTAGAACTAGACGTGCATCTAGCGCTCGGTGCTTCTGCTGCTGTGAGCCAAAACTGTTTGGGCGGATAACCCGTTGCGGTGCTGAGTGCTGAGCTGAGTTGAGTTTGGCGTCGGCTGTCTGGCCACCAATGGCAGCTGCGATCCTAGTGTGTACATACATG